TATTTGCCAGGGTCTGTTAATTTACCAGATGGGTATATATATATATGGCAGTGCGTCAAAATCTTGTACCCCTGGTGAACCTCAAAATAGCTGGTATTTATGGATGTTCATTCCCCTAAAAATGGTATTTTCATAGGTATTGACCCATACCCATATGTGTATAGATATACCCTCTGGTAAACTAACATAGCTATTGAAAATCACCATTTTTACTGGGAAAACTCACTATTTCTATGGCCATGTTCAATAGCTATGTGGCTGTTTACCAGAGGGTACATATCTCCATATGAAAGTCGATGAATCCCCATCCCACCATATCCATCAGCCGCAAGGTACCGACCTCTCCGATGGCCGCTACGCGCACAGCGCCGTGCTGCGGGAAGGTGGCGCCGGACTGCGATGGAAGGTGGCCATGTTTGGAGCCACCCAAAATGGTCGATTTGAATAGATAAGACATGATAAATCCAAGCCTTGTTTTTGGGATATCATGGTGACAATTCATGAAAATTCAGGTATACATGGGATTACATGGGGATTATGATAAAACCAAGCCTTGTTTTTGGGATATCATGGTGAAAATTGAGGTATAACCAAGTATAATATATGGGTGTTGTCCGAACATGGGGATTTTTCCTCAATTTATTGCCAAATATTGGGGGATACCCCAAAAACTGCAATATTAAGGTAGGGAAGTTGTGATAAACCACTGATTTTTTTGGGAACCCTACCCTCTGGTAATTTAACATAGCTATGGAAAATCACCATTTTTAATGGGAAAATTACCAGAGGGTACTTTTCTACAAACTCACTCGGTTTGGAACTCCAAGGGATATCAGCCAGCTAAAATGATAAAATCTGGTTGGGTAGTGAACATTTCAATTTCAATCTTAGTGCTTGTTGGTTAACCCGTCAAGACCCCAAATTTCTTGAGTCATCAAACATTAATCCACAGATGTTGGTAAACCCATGAACATCCATTAAAGCCTCTATGAGGTGGGCATATCGCAGAATTTTGTTGGTTTCAACCACGTTTTTAAGCCCGATGAAACATCCACATCAGTTGGATATGTAATGATATGTATATTTTCTTGTTCTCAACCAGGTGAAACACCCATTCAAACCCTATGAAGGTAGTTTTTTTTTTTTCCGGTAATGTCCAACCTTCAGAATCTGATACTTAAATGGAAACCTGGTAACCTCCCCAAATAAACAGCCGTTGGTTTCAACGAGCATCGAGGCTTCATCTACCTCTATGGAGGCAATGACACGGTGCGACACGATGACCTGTGTCTCGGTAACAAGGGATTGGATTGGGAAAATCCAGTTGAACAGGGAGATATCGTTTTGGAATATTTTAAAATTTTGGATATAATGGGGATAATATATATATATATCATATGTGTGTATATATATATATGAAATTATATGAATCCGGGCTTCAAGTTGGGACAATTGCAGAATCCAAGGGTTTTCACACCCACAATATCCCAAACTTGATGTTTCAACTGTAAGTTTGTCGGCCCATGTCGATGACTTTTGGTGAAAACCCTTGGCACTTGGGAGAAGTGAACAAAGGCATCCACTGCCTGGAGATTTTCGATGGCGAAAATTGATGAAAATAGACTAACCGCAACACAAAAGCATGTACACAATGTATATACTTATACACATATTATTATGCAATACGAGATTACATACAGACCTGGATTTTCATTTGACTTTGACTTTGATTTCAGTGGTTCAGACGAAATCCGCTGAGGCTCCAATTGGATTTGGAGACCAAGATCTGGAGCCGAGTCTTGGTGCCCTCTACCCCTGTTTGGAGGATTTGTGGGTGTCAACATTACATAGATGTATATGGAGGTTTCCTAAAATGCATAGCTATTTTATAGGATATACTTTGACATATTTTTATAGGATCTTGGTAAGTTTTGGTAGCTTCATCTTTTGAAGAGGTGTTGATGTTGGTGTGGGGTGAAAAGCAAAGACGGGTATGGGTCAAGTACCAATGGACGTTTCACTCACGAAAGAAACCGTGTTCAGTCTTGTTTCGGTATTACGACTTTCGTTTACACAATGGAATAGGTATATTATATATATATATACATAACTCATGTTAATTAATAATCATAACAACAATAATACGGGGAACCATATAGCCATGATGCCCACTGGCTGACCCCAGCGGCCATAGCTATGGAAGTCACGACTTACCCATGAAAAATGACGATTTTCCCGTCAAAAATGGCGATTTATCCATCAAAAATAGTGAATTTCCAGTAATTACCGGTGTAATCATTGGTTCTGTCCCTAATATTGTTGGTCCTGGTAACCATTTCTAGAATCCGGTGCCCCCCAGTTATAAGTTGGTTTATAAATCTCATAAAGTATGCATAGATATGTCATAATCTGGCATAACCATGCATAGACCCTAGCTGTACAACACTTGAAAACCCAGCTTAGCTAACTATACTATGGGCCAATAAAATCCATTCTTCAGTGCTTAAATCCCCATTGTAGATGCTTAACCCCCTATGTTTGACGGTTAAATCCACATTTACCCTTTAGTCGTTTCATTATCACATTACAACATATTATAGTTTGCGTTATTATGTTAAAATATACTATAGATCGCACAGTCTATTCAGAATCCATCCTGGTAAATCCAACGGTATGTATAATTTGGGAGAAACACATGTACATAATTGCTTGTTAAGATAACCAAATTAGCCAGCATGTTTAGTAATGGTAATCTCTAAGTTATAGGATACTCTCTGGTAATTTAATGTAGCGAACTGGAATATCACCATTTTAAATAGATAAATCATCATTTTTTAGCATCTACAAATGGGTCATCTTCCATAGCTATGTTGAATAATCTTATATAATATAGGATAATATTATATAAGATTATATAATATTATATAATATGATATAATATTATATAATATGATGATATAGGATAACCATTGGATAACGCTCCATTTCTTGTGAAATCTGCCGTTTTTTTTTCGAAATCAGAGAGCCACAGCCAGGTCCATGGCAAAGATTGCCCTCCGGGCCGTGACTTTCATGCGGCCGTGCTACGGAAGGTGAGGATTTCATGTCACCAATGGAATCCGAACATGTCGTAATAAATACCCTCTGGTAAACAGCCACATAGCTATTGAAAATGGTGATTTATACTGGATTTACCCATAAAAAATGGTGATTTTCCATAGTTATGTTAGTTTACCAGAGGGTATCATAGATACTTATGAACAGGTACTTGTACTTGATGAAACGAATAGTTATACATACTTAATGAAACCAATAGTTATACATACTAGTACATACTTAATGAAAACAGTAATGGATAAATCCTTAACGAAACCAGTGATTATATTGCTTATTGCCATTACTATACCCTGAGGATCCATGCAAATAAAGAGGGTCAAATCGGAAATGCATGCAAATAGCGCATGCATTGTCGAAATGTGACAGTCGGAGATTGTATTTTGTCGGAAAAAGCGCCATCTTAGCTGCAAATTGCCTAACTTGCGTGACAGACCGTGACGATATGACCTCGAATTTGTCGGAATTTATTGGAAATAAATGGGCAGATAAACAGTCGGAAATGCATGCAAAAATCATGCTCGGACCGCAAACAGCATGGTCAGACGCTCTGAGACCGTGCAAAACCAAGTGCATGCAAACGGTCCATACTTTGGATCGTCAGAGTATTCTGTCGTATAGTACTATTACCTATTGCGGATTACTATCAAAATAGTATAATTTTGGGCATAGCTTCCTCTAACAGCGGGCAATGTTGCGGTTGGTAGGAACCCCCAATCAAGAAGAGATGATAATTATGGTGTTATCTATCTTAAAATTTGGGTCATAGTCATAGTGGTATACTACCCTATTTAGTGGTTGTTTTGATAGATCACCAATCACCCTTAAAAATGCACGCGATTTTTAAACCTCAGATATGCACGAGAGGACTCCATGGTGGTCTTCGGCGGCTCCAATGGCATGAGGTTGGGGCTGCCATCTGGAGAACATCCATATTTTCACACCCTCACAAAGCGACATCACCGGAATGATGGTTAGGCCCGCGGTAATTTACTCTCCCTTTTTGCGACCTTACGAATTTTTAGGATTTCAGGCGAGTGAAATATAGTGAAATATGATGATTTGCCCAGTTTTATGGAGCATTAGGAACCTTTATGGATTAAGATATGGGTCGATGTCGTGGAAAGCCATGATGGAACCTCGCACCAGATCGTCGCAGGGCAAACAACGCAGAATGATGACTACCCTCTGGTAAACTAACATAGCTATTGAAAATGACCATATATAGTGGATTTTCCCATTAAAAATGGTGATTTTCCATAGCTATGTTAAATTACCAGAGGGTAACCATTGGATTTTCACACCCTTCTACTTGCAGACAGAGAATTGTAGAGTCTGCTGTTTTCGTTTTTTGAGCTGCCAAATTTTGGGGGCGCTTCTCTCAAAGCGCAACTCGATGGCTGCCATTCGTTTGGACATCGGGCTCCAGCGATTCCGAGGGTCCGTATGTCAGACAATCTTGTCGATCTGAAAAAGATTAATCTTCTGAAATCACATTCCATAAACAAAACAAATAGATACATGATAGATACATATAGATACAGATACATATAATGAATCAATAATCTGTATTGAAATCTATATTGAACATATAGAATACATACAGAATCAATTGAAACAGGAGGATACAGGAGGGATATGGGTTATCAAATTATTTCTATGTCTTTGGAAGACGACCGTGCTTTTGTGTTGCAGCACAGTACAAGTGACAAGTGATGCAGGAGGTCTTGAGCCCTCACGTTAGCGAAGATGACATGATGATGTTTTCCACTATATCCATTGGTATATCACACTGCTTACGCCTGAAAGCTAGTATATAACCCTCTTAAGCGGCCAATAGCTGAACAGCTTGTCGAGACCTCGGAATGCCTTCGATTTGAGCCCACATGCTAATGAATCGCTTGATTGAAGATGAGAGATCTTCCAGACAGTGGACAGACATCTCCTTCTTCATCTTGGGTGCTGCGACGACCATTACTTGGGACAGCATCTACATGTCTGTATCGTATTTCCAGCAGTTCTTGGGCAAGCAGGCAGGGTCTCTTGAAGTTCGTTCCATGCAAAGGCATTCACCTTGGTTTATGGCATATCCCTTTGTTAATATCCCACCGTGGATATATCCCAATTCAAATGGACTTAGACATCAGCATCATCAGCAACCAATCCTTCCAGACCTCGAACAGGTCCGAAAAGCCTCTGACAGGTCCTGTCGGTGCTGTCGCTTTGTTTCAGTCTTCCACTCTTTGTGGCCACTCGTTGAACGGACCAAATTTCTGGGTAGGTCGGGGAGGTTATCCTCCGGATCTGCAGACTTTGACCATTTGATGTTCCAGAAGCTTGTGGTGAACTCACCATCATGGCATCATGATGTCCCGGCATGGATCAAACTGGAAAGCCAAAGCTTGGGACGACGTATTCTGGTCATTTGGGGCTCATCTCATTGTTGCTTGATTTCACCAACACATCTGGGCTTCGAAGCAGGAAAATTATAGAAACACTATACGAATGAGTTGATGAGCTGACTGACAAGACTTGGGATTCAAGCCATTTGGGTCTGGGTCAAAATGGGTGCTATTTTGTTCAAACTTCAGGACCTCCCAAAGCTATACTGAAAAGCGAACAGATCAAGTTTCGTGGTGTTTGGGGTCTCCCCCCATTTTAGGAGCACCCGAGCCCCCCAAATTTGCGAAGTCGAGGCAATGCTCTTTTGTTTGTGTCTGAAGACACAGCTGCCGGTGAAGCTTATGGCATGTCTCGTACGCCTCTGCATCGCCTACATGTCACGCTGACAAAATGGAAGGAATCCGGGGGCCGAAGTGTTAACCTCTGAGAACCCGAAGTGAATTATTTAAGAGTTCCAAGATGAGAAATAATCATTTTTGCGAATGATCTTCTTATCAAAGATGGGGAGCTTCGCGCCAGCAGCTGGGGTTTGAATGGGAATGGATTCATCTGACATCATGAAGGGATTAACGTCCATAACTACAATATATTTTGATGTGAAGACCAGATTTTGTTCTTCTCACTTCATGAAGATCAGTAGCACCCTTGGTAGATGGATGCCTCCAGAAGCCAGACCTATGACCTATGATTTTGGCCTTGAGGGCGGCCTGACTCACCATGCCCAGCGCGATCATCTCCTTGTCATTCGAGGAGTGACTCACGTATTGCGATACCCAAATAGAAAGGACGTGTCCAACCATGAGAGGATACGCCAATCATGTTGCTTTGCAACGTCTACTGAAGCAAACCAATTTTGGGCTCTGCAATCTTTGAAAACACCATTCATTAACTATTGTCAGCTCTATCTCCATTTTCATCTAGTACATGTCCCATTCTTTTTTCCGTCAATCTCTCCATTCACGTTAGTTGTGTGTGCGTGTTGGTCAGTGTTTGCGTGTTGGTCAGATCTCAAACTCATCCCATCCCTCATTTACATCCATTTACAGCACATATCTATTTATACCTCCTTGAGTTCTCACCCTGATTTAGTACTGGGTGATATTTTGCATCCCCCCCGGAACGGCCATCCTTCCGTTCACCCTCTCCCAGGTTGGGATTTTGCATCCTCATCCTGTTGGCTGGATCTTGCGACATCGAAATTCCAGTGGGACTTCTCTGCTTTTTGGTGGGCCTCTGTGGCATCGCTTCGGGCGTGATGCAAAGTGGCATGGCGATTTTTGGGTTGACGCCTGAGGGGCATTTTGAAAGGGGGGTAGCACTGCCCGGTATGCTCCATGAACCTGGGGATCAAATTGCACTCGTATTCCAGGTTTCAACGAACCAGCGCAACCAATTCTTCAATATATGCACAGACCAGCAGTCTGGCTGCAATAAAGTGAAGATAACTGAACTGCTCGGTCCCATGGTTCCTCTCGCAAGGAAAAAAAACGTCAGATATCAACTTAAGATGAGCTCAAGTTTTTATGAACTTAAGATAAACTTAAGATCACTGAAGATACTTAAGATAATGATGAATGATCTGTGTTAAACCCAATAACAAACTATCCCCAATGCCCCGAACGGTGGTTTGTTTCTGGCATTGGGTTGCCTAGGTTGAGCTTCAGATAAACCCGTCCCACAAGGGTCCCACTTGGGGGTGCACCCCACTTAGTAAATGGGTTATACATGGTTATACTATACCCCCAGTTATATAGTATGGACTATCCCCAGTTTATGGGATTATCATGGATTATATGGGTTATACATATATATATATATGTAATAGCTTGTAAACAGTTATAAACCACTTACTAAGTGGGATGCACATCCAAGCATGATTCCCATGCCAGGTATGATTGCCTCAGTCACCGGCCTCTTCTCTCAGTTCTCTCTGGAAAGCGGTGCCAGTGCCTCTGCGCTGAAGGGCACTGGAGGCGCGGATGGAAACGTCTGCGGGGAGAACCCTAAGTGATGATCCTTAAACTGCTCATTTTTGATAGTGAAACTATGGGAAACCCGTGGTTTTTGGGTCACCAAATTTATGTATATATATATATGTGTGTATATACGATACTAGTATATATATATTTATATATGTATATGATATGTATTATATGTATGATATATACATATGTATGATATATATATATGCATGATAGCCATGTCATACGCGTGTTCAACACGTGATGGAAATCAATTTCGGCCTTAAAGCGGTTTAGCGGAACCAGAATAATTTGCTCAGCATTGCTGTGCCAACACCACGGGATAACTTTGAACTCCGCGCGGACCTCTGGGTAAAGCGGGATGAGCCGAGTGCAAACAGCTTTCACTCACTTAGAAAAAGCACCCCCCAAAAAATATAGAAGTTGGCAACATCCGAATCTGAATTTACTTTTCTGCATCTTTTTGGAGTAAAAAAACTTCCAGTCGCATCTCCTCGGGCTTTTTTCGAGGCGCCATTTTGATCCCCATGGCAGTGCAGATTGGATTTCTTCCTGCGGCCATGGCCGGAGCGCTGTATGGATTGGTTTGAAGCCCGAGTTCTTGTGGGATTTGAATGGAAAAATGACATGTTTTACCCTCTGGTGAACTAACATAGCAATTGAAAATGGCCATAGAAATAGTGGATTTTCCCATGAAAAATGGGTGGATCTTTCCATTGCTATGTTAGTTCACCAGAGGGTACCCTCCATAGTTGAGGATGAGGGCTGGTTTGCTGATGTAAAATTATGTCAAACTGATTGGGAAAAAGTGTGAAGGGTGCACAGCGGCTGAATACTGGGTTTTCTGCAGGCTGTTATGACCATTTCTTGACGGCTTGACGCAGATCCTTTGGCCTCTTAAATCTCAGACAGACGAAACGACCAAGTTTCTGGGAACCCCACACTCCAAGAACTGGAGTGGAAAATCCAAATCGGAATAAACCGGAAAGCCCCATTTTGAAAGGTCAAGACCAGGATGTCAACCGAACATGTTCCCTTAAACCAATCCATTGATTGGATTGTTGATGATTGCTTGTCAAGATCCAAGGTCCACTTACCATCTGGTTTTAACATAGCCATGGAAAATCACCATTTTTAATAGGTAAACCTCTATAAATGGGCCATCTATACCATGGCTATGTTAAATAACCAGCCCCCTTCGTCATTGAAGGAGCTTCGACCATCAATCAGAGCCTGATCGTGGTCTTCCTCCTTTCTTCTGGCATGCTACTTTTGTCCCTGCTGGCGCTGCGCATTTTGGCCAGGAATGGGAACCAGTGAGAACCAGTGGGAAGTTGAACCCCCATTAAAGACCCAGGTTAATTATGTGTATTTGTTATAGGTGGGAAGACAAGTGCCAAGAAAGGTGAATTATATAATGTAATTAATTTTGCTTCCGAGATTGAGAAGTATTGGGTATTCCAATTTAATCTACAGTTTACTATCTAAATATAATATATATATATATATATAGTTTTTTTTAAAATGTGAAGATCTTTCGGCTTTGCCCAGTGGTGAGAAGGGTGTAGATATTGACGAATGTCCTGTGCACAATCTGGCTACGTGGATCCAGAATCTACTGACAAAGGTGAAGCAGATGAAACTAATGAGGTCGATCTTCAGGTGCTAGCTTGACTGGAGAAGGAGTGATATTACGCGTCCCTCCCTCTATGCTTGGGCATGACCTGTGGAGGTTGGTGTCGGACTTGCGAGAAAGATTTTGTGCTGGAAGGCGCTGCGCAAAAATAGAGGGCGCCATGCCTGGAACATATTTGCGTTAGCTGCCCCGCAGCCTTGCAAGATTCACTTTTGGCCGAAATTTCAACCAAAACCTGAATCAGGTGACCTTGCCATCCAGTCTTCAAAGCCTGAGTTTCGGCATGCATTTCAATCAAAGCCTGGAGAACGTGACCTTGCCATCAAACCTTCAAAGCTTGAGTTTCGGCCAAATGTTCAACCACACCCTGGATCAAGTGACCTTGCCATCCAGTCTTCAAAGCCTGAGCTTCGGCATGCATTTCAATCAAAGCCTGGAGAACGTGACCTTGCCATCAAACCTTAAAAGCTTAAGTTTTGGCCAAATGTTCAACCAAACCCTGGATCAAGTGACCTTGCCATCCAGTCTTCAAAGCCTGAGCTTCGGCATGCATTTCAATCAAAGCCTGGAGAACGTGACCTTGCCATCAAACCTTAAAAGCTTGAGTTTTGGCCAAATGTTCAACCAAACCCTGGATCAAGTGACCTTGCCATCCAGTCTTCAAAGCCTGAGCTTCGGCATGCATTTCAATCAAAGCCTGGAGAACGTGACCTTGCCATCAAACCTTAAAAGCTTGAGTTTTGGCCAAATGTTCAACCAAACCCTGGATCAAGTGACCTTGCCATCCAGTCTTCAAAGCCTGAGCTTCGGCATGCATTTCAATCAAAGCCTGGAGAACGTGACCTTGCCATCAAACCTTAAAAGCTTGAGTTTTGGCCAAATGTTCAACCAAACCCTGGATCAAGTGACCTTGCCATCCAGTCTTCAAAGCCTGAGTTTCGGCATGCATTTCAACCTTAAAAGCTTGAGCTTTGGCGATCGATTCAACAAAAGCCTAGAGCAAGTGGTCTTGCCATCGAGTCGTCAAAGCTTGAGGTTTGGCAATTTCTTCAAGCAAAGCCTAGAGCCAGTGACCTTGCCATCTAGTTTTCAAAGCTTTAGTTTCAGCGCGAATTTCATGCCATCGAGTCTTCAAAGCTTGAGTTTTGACATTAATTTCAATCAAAGTCTGGAGCAGGTGACCTTGCCATCGAGTCTTCACAGCTTCAGTGCTGGTGCTGGCCTTTCATTACACAAGATCTCGGTCAGTTGTGCAAGGTGTGCCGAGTTTGTTTGACATATTCTTGAACATCTGGAGGTTTCCTAAAATGGGGGTACCCCCAAATCATCCATTTTAATAGGATTTTCCATTATAAACCATCCATTTTGTACGGTAGATATCTGAGCAAAAGAGGCCTAAAGACTCCCAGGAATGTGTCGACCAGACCACCTGCGTGAGGTTGGACTATTCCAGGATGTGATAGTATTGGTTTGGTAAAACTCGATGGATGATTATCACTATTATTTCTTATTACTCTTATTTACTCTTAGCATTCGTAATATATATATATATATTACACACACATACACACATACACACATACATACATACGTACGTACGTACATACATTACATTACATTACATTACATTAAATGACATTAAAGGACATTAAATGACATTACATTACATTACAATACATACATACATAACATAACATATCATAACATAACATAACATACCATAACATACATAACATACATAACATACATTACATACATTACAGACATTACAGACATGACAGACATTACAGACATTACAGACATTACAGACATTACAGACATTACCTACATTACCTACATTACATTACATTACATTACCTTACATTACATTACATTACACACCATTACACACCATTACACACCATGACACACATACACACATACATCCATGCATACATACATAAAGAACATAACATAACATAACATAACATTAATACACACATACACACATACACACATACACACATATATACATATATATATATTTATATATATATATATATATATATTTATATATATATATGTACACATCTATTAATATGTGATTCGAATGATAACAACAACAAACCCAGGCACCGGTCACCAATCGTGCGCAGGACAGACACCTGGGAGATGGCGGCTGCCAGCCCATGCGCCGCCAATGCCTGCGTGGTAGAATGTCGCAGCTTGCTGTGGAATGGAATGGTTTTTTTTTTTTGGTTAAAATGAATATACTGCATATACATATGTATACATATTAGACTACATATACATATATATATATATACACATTAGATATTGTGTATATTTATATACACATTAGATATTGTGTATGTATATATGAATGATTATATATGTAGATATGGCGTCCGTATATGTAGATATTGTGTTATATGTAGATCTTTTATATTATACATACAGATACCTTGTAGTATGAAATAGGACCTACTGTGACAGTAGTTTGTTACCCCAAATTTATGCGACGTCTCAGGAGTGAACAAGTTGTTGCCACTGGTAGTTGCTACTAGGTTGGTTGATTTGAACTTTTTCCATTTCCCAAGAATTGTATTGTTAAAATGAATCCATCTACATAATCTGGATGAACTATATGACCGCACTGTGGCATCACTGGACTGATGGTTGGGAAGGGGATCATCGCCAAATGTTTGGTGAAGTATTGTAATTTAGCCGCTGAATGAAATTCAGCCAGAGGTAATGTATTGGTGAACATATCACCCATATCACCTGGGCTATCAACTGTCAGTGAGCTTGACACAGGAGCAGTGGGCCGGATTTCTCGCCAGCGACTCATCATGTAAATTCCAACTTCAAGAATCTAAAAAAAGTATGATGACCACATATATTATATAGTCCTTAACCATTCTGGTAAACATACACAAAACGATGGAACATCACCATTTTTCATGGGTTTTCATGGGTAAATCCACTGTAAATCACAATTTTCAAGCGTTTTTTGTATGTTTACCATGGCCAGTCCCATGGCCGACAGCGGTTGCCGGTAGCGGAGCCACCGGCCGAGGCAATCCAGTGGAGAACACCCTGGGCCAGGCCCGGGACTTCTCCCGGCAGCGCTTGGTCTTGGTGCGATGGTGTGCCATCGGCCAGGCAGGGGCCGTTGGATCAGCGGAGTTATATTGATGTAGAGACACCATGGAATCAGTGGAATCAGTTTTTTGTTTAATATCTTATATTTTTTTTATAGTAAATAAGATTATATGGTTCATAATGTGGAATGATTTTTATAGTGGAATCAGATGCTTATGGTTCATGTGACTAAAGTAAAATCTCTATTTTTATCGTAAAATCCTATGGCACCTTTTTCGTAAGGAAAACCATGGTAAATCATGGAGCTCGGGGTTACGAATTTAAGACAACCGACCAGATGACCAGCTGCTGAACTGTGCAAATACTAGTGGATAAGTCTGGTGCATCCAATTCACCCCAGAAACACCAGAACTTCCAGAGAACATCTTAGATTCAGAAACAAAAAGAAACACTAAGAATCCCCAAGAAAAACCAGTTTTTCCAGTGAGCCTTCCAAATTTTCGGCGGTGTTCAGGTCTTCAGCCTCACGTTGACCACTTTCCTGCTGGCCTTGTCACCACATATCCCGCCCAGTCCCACCGGCATCGGGGCAAAAGATGGCTGGATGAAGATGGTTAAGTGATGTTGATAGGTTATATATATATCCGACGTATAGATCTACATTCTACATTAATATATATGTATATATACATGCTTATTATATATATATGTATGAGTTACCAAGAAGTACATATATGTGTATATATATACATACACGTAAACATACATGATATGTGTATGTATAATATACATACATATGTATATATATATATACATATACATACATACATATTTACGCATGTGTATTATAATCAATACCCATTAAACTTAATTGACCTAATCGCTGGCGGCATTCAAGGCTGTTGTTCCTTGGTCATTGCAACAGATCTGTGAGGTACGGAGGAGATGTTCTGGCAAGAATATTTGGCAACCGTGCTGACTCTCAGCTGAGTTTGATGTTAAGGGGCAATCCAACCTTTACAAGGCCAAATCCTGGAAAATCCAATATTTGTCAACTGTCTAACTCCCAAGTTGGAATAGCGGAGGGCGCCCAGGTTGAATCCCTAGACTTATGAAAATCTTGCAGCCTCGAAGTTGAAATTTCCTTTTTCATGTTCATTTACATTGTTTTCACACACATGATCATTTTTTCATTGCCAAAAATGTTCATTTAGATTTTCATTGGCATTTTCATGTGGTTTCATGGCATGTATCTTGTTCATTAGCAATGCTTGCTTTGCTCAGCCAAAATGCCGTGGAAACATGATGCGGTACTTTTTGCCAAAAAAACAATTTGAATGTACCCTCTGGTTATTTAACATAGCCATGGTATAGATGGCCCATTTATAGATGGTTTACCTATTAAAAATGGTGATTTTCCATGGATATGTTAAATAACCAGAGGGTAATTGTGAACACAAACAGGAAACAAACATAAGACACCATAACGCAACACTAGGACACAATGAACAGGAAGCACAAATCCAAAAACCAAATGAAAAATGAACATGTTTGACAACATGAATATAAATGAAAACAAGAAAGCCAAAAAACAGTTTACAAAAAAACACGAAAATTGCTTACAACATGAACATGTAAATGCAAAATTAATGAAAACCGAAATCCAAATTAGAAAAATGAAAACCGAAATCCAAATGAAAAAGAAGAAGGGAAAGAATGACAAGCACAATGAAAGAACGCAGGAATTGTCCCAAACCTGGAAAAACCTAATTTTCCTCGAGACATGTTCATTTTCATGTCATGTTTTTTTCATTGAAACGCACATTGAATTTTGGAGCTCCTTGATCATGAGGCTCTGCATATTGAAGTTATTTCTTGCGGTGTTGTCCAAATTATTTTTTCTTGATCTATTGCAAGATGATTCGAAGATGGCTCTGCTGTTCTGTGCTGGCTCTCTCGCCCTTTTCAGGATCGCTACACAATCCGTGGCAAATTTTCTGGGACGGCTTTCGATTACTGGCAGATGGTGCATGCGACCAGCACCGGTGACTGTGCTGGTCTCGATGGTGGTCATCCGAGTACTTTGGCAAGCAACAAACCACAGGCATGGTGGCAGGGTGTAGCCGCCCTCAGTGAACTGCAGCGATAAAAGGTGACTGGTAATGGCATATTTCTCAGCAAGTGACTGGTTAAGCAGATCCATCCACCAGTTTCAAACCATTCAAACCATTGGATGGTGGTCTACCATGATCTCCCAAGAATCTATCCCAATCCTACTTGCCATATGCTGCAGTGTTGGTGAGGTGTCGCTTCTGTTTCTCTTTGAGCTTTAATCTCATGTTTTGGACTAGTTTGCTTGGATTCCCTTTATATATCATTGTTCCATGTTTTGTGTTTTCTTCCTGTTGTTTTTGTGGTTCTGTCATCCGGGTCACCATCAACGTACTGTAGATTCTCCTTACGAAAGAGGAGAATCAACTTGAATCGGCTCACATGGAAGAATCAGACGGATTTACATGAAGCGCTTTCAAAGGCCAACAAGTGGGGGTTTCCTAAAATGGGGGTACCCCAAAACCATGGATTTCAATACTAAAATAGTCTAATTTTGGATGACTGGGGGCACCTATTTTAGGAAACCCCTAAATCATTACACTAGTATATCCAAAATAGTTTTACACTATATCCAAAAATATCACACTATCCAAATCATTACACTATCGCGTTGCGTATATCCACCACTAGTTTTGCGATCTGTGGTGGGTTGCAACCTGGCACCGATGACTGATGAGTTTCCACTATGTGAGGCCCCATATTCAGTGGGTGATATTATCGAATTAAACAAATATCAAATGGTGCTTCTTCTGTATTTTCCTGTTGCCATCTTAAATGATCAGAGTCTTAGAACTAGTAGCTATGAACATGTCTAAATCGATGGTTATAAAATGTTATAACATATATTATACATCATTAGTTGTATATGGTATTTATAAGGTAATATACTATTATGTCACCAATATATCATCATCACCATCACCATCATCATCATCATCATCATCATCGTCATCATCATCATCATCATCACCATCATCACCATCATCACCATCATCACCATCATCACCATCATCACCATCATCACCATCATCACCATCATCACCATCATCACCATCATCACCATCATCACCATCATCACCATCATCACCATCACCATCACCATCATGATGATGATGATGATGATGATGATGATTGGTGGGGATTGTTGTAGGACATAATCATTGATTCTGAATGTGTCAAAATCATGGTCTGTCCACATTTTTAATGTTTAAACTTCATCGATCCTGGCTGGATCCCAGGTGATCTTCATCCCCTGCATCCTCAGCTACGCCAAGGGACGCATGCACTGGCTCCTCCCTTCGGATCCCCTGAATCTGAGCAGCTGGAGCTGGCGATTTTCCAGTTCGCAACGTCTTCAATGACCAGAGGTAGCCCCCAAGTTAGAACAGGTAAAATCCAAATCTAAAATAGTGGCAAATTGCACCATTGTGGCATCTGTTTGTTTTTTTTTTCGAAAAAATACAAGACACGAGAAGAAGCAGACCTGGTGGTTAAAAGTGGTTTCCGACCATTTTGGAGTCGAGACAAACAATCCAGTGTAGTCATTGTAGTCCTTCAATGGGAAACAGACAGTCTGATAAATGTGTTTGTGAAGACCTGAGATTTACATTTTTTTTTAAACTATGGTGTGGGTTTCTCTGAAAATAGCATACCCCAAAATCCAGTGGTTTTTCATTGTATTCCTATGAAATGCACATTAGGTCACTAGGGTCTACCCATTTTCAGACCCACCCATGTGCGAAAAATGGTGATAGCAGTTCTGAATACTCCTGGACCAGTCATTTTTTTTTGTGGCACAAGCCACCACCCAGCATTGTCCACGCACATGAATGTACCAAGCACATACTTGTAAGATCTTCTAAGTCCAATCATCTACACATACAGCCAGACGTAGAATCAGACAATAGTATCACATACTTAGATGTAAATTAAATCTCTCTCTTTCTCTATATATATATCCAACACACACACACACATGTATATATATACATACATATATACACAGTATGTATACATATGCGCGTTTGTGTTTGACCGCCTTTCGGCTGCCAATTTGCTATCCCTTGCCACCCCAAGGTATCATCCTGGCCTACGGGTTGATGTCCTTCAGTGGCGGTATTTGTGCTATGCTCCTCTCACAGAAAGCGCAGTCACTCTGTGATCACGACCATCGAATCTTGATAAAACTCGGATTTTGGAAGACATCAAATCAATTTGGTGGTTTGATTGGGTGAAGGGAGTTGTTATACAGTATGTAGTTATGTATATATAATTAATATATAATTATATATATACACTGTATGCATCGTGTACTGATACTGTAATGTATTTTAGTGTAATACAATGCAATGCAATGCAATGCATGTATGCAACGCATATATTTACATATGTACGGTATACATTCGTATGTATATACATATATATATATATACATATCTGAGCTCGACCAGGGTGTGGTCAGCATTCGATTCATGCAGCACTCAGAGTCAACCGGTTCCGTGGAGAAAGATATCCAAGCTGTGTCAGCCTTGAAATCAGAGTTCCTGTACGTCAATGCGAGAGAAAAACTACTCCAATAAAAGCAGTCAAGAGGAAATCTCCGCATGAACCAGACATGCATAACACCTGAAGACATATATATACATATATATATATATACATATATATATAAAGATATACACATATTATACTGATACACAAGACATGAAGCACATACATATTTTACTATGGCACGTTCGATGATGAAATCCCCATTTTGGGTTGATCAAAAGTCACCCTTGGGTTCTTCGAATGACCTAATAACTGGTTGGTGAAACCACAGTTTTTGTTGGGGTCACCATTTTTGCTGCTTCAAGTCCGATTTTTCTTGGTGTTTCACCAGTGTTTTGTGCGGCTAAACCGCGTTGTTGGATGGTTCAACCGTCCTTTTTTTGGCGAACGCCAGGAATCCCGTGTCCGATCGTCTCACAGATCACCTGGATCGCCATTCAGCTGGGAGGTGCAGCATGACCACAAACAAATCTCACAAATCAGCGTCTCAAAGTGAGTTGGAAAAGTAAAAGCCATTTTTTAGCCCTTATATAACCCATAAAGTTGGGGTATAAATTAAGTTTTGGGGTGAACAAAATCCTTAATCAGCCAGATCTTCAGTACGAAGCTGATCTAATGACTTGGATATTTTCGTAGCACACACTTGGACACCCTGGACACCTCGCTTTTGGGTTGGAACATCTACGGAAGATTTTTTCGGAATTATATAATTTTTTGGTTGGTAAAACAAGATCATGTATCACTGGATTGGTTTAAGGGAAAATTTACAGGAAACCATGGTTTTTACCATCAAATATAGGGCTTTCCTGTAAATTTACCCATAATCCAATTCTATGAATGTAGACATAAATCAATGGAATATAATAGAACATGTACCAATGATTATTACATAATATACCACAAAAAAACTATGGTTATTGGTATAACATATGGAATAACAAGATGACTGGATTCCAATAGATGTATCATGTTAATCAATTCATGATGTATATTTTTTTTTCTGCCACGATATGGGATTTATATTGTATTTCCAGCATCAATTAGGATGATATCTTCAACATCATTAGATACAGTCATCCCAAAAAGATAGAAAAGTAAATCTCTACTGTACCAATTTAATGATGATTTACTTTCTTTTTTTGGGTTACTATGGGTTGTAACAATATGATTGGAATACTAATTATTGGCTTATTGGCATATGATATGGAATAGCCAACAATATCATTAGATATATTTGAAAAATGGATAAATATTGATATATCATAGATCCCAACAGATGATAAATACACGCATATCATCGATATCATTAGAGATGACCTGTACAGAGGCCAGGATCCAATCTTTGAGGATACAACAATTGTAGAGGCATCCAATTGGTATTGCCACTAGACACTAGATTGGAATTCATAGCAATATATTTACAGCTATCATATAGGAGTTGAACTAGTGATTACCATATGTAGGTTGGCCAGGGTCAAACGATAGATTGTATACTGTATAGCACTCATATAGAGTGCCTAGTGGTGGTTCATATGAATTTTCTTTACCGTGTTCATGAAACAAAATCCAACTTTTTTGACCTTGGGGATGGTCATTCCAACCATGTTAGAGTCTGGGGATGACAAACGGATAACACCAACGTGTTGGAAACGAAGGACCAAAATCCCAATGGTTTAGCTTGGAACCTCATTTTCCCTATGCCATTGGCCATTTTGGGCGGTGCAATAAGATTTGTCTCTTTCTCTCCCTTTCTCTCTTGTTCTATGTACACATGACTCTGTGTATATACATATACATACATATATATAAATATATACACATATATACATAATATGATATATATATATTATATTATATATATATGTACACACGTATAAATATATATGTAATGATTGGAATGATTGTGAATCCTTGCATTTATTTTGAATCATTTGGATAGCTTTGGATTTGGACAAGTTGTTGTGGTGCCACCGACCTGTTGCGTGGAGGCCTCATTGGAGTGTCCTTCTCCTGCATCAAAATCCTGTAGCGGAGGCATGGAAAGGGATTGGTTGCTGTGGGGGTTTCAGACATTCTGCAGCCAACGTATTAAAGGATGCAGTCTATCAATTTCTATCCAAAAAAACATGTTACATTTCGGAAGCGACATTCATGCCATTTTCGCCTGAGCCCAGGCCCAAAGAAGCCGCCCAGGCCAGTGACTTTTCCAGCGTGACGACCTGGTCGGCCCATGCGTAGCGAAAAACATCGCGAAGATGATGGGACCAGTCCATCTTTCACCACTCCAAAATCAGTAGCACTGGATTCTGAGGTTCAGCTCAACCATTTGGTTCAGGTCTGCATGCGATATAATTTTCCTCACGAATCGTCAGAAACATGTCCAGACCCTGTAGAATCTCTTCAACATGTACATGCATCAATATTCGCAGGACTTTGATTCCTCGTCGGTATTGTTGGTTCAAACCTTAGGACCTTGTTTGGTGGTTAGCCAGGCCGGGGGAACCAGTTTTTACCTATCTCAATGATTGCTGGTTATCATGAACCCCAGATGCTCAGCAGACCAGTGCTGCCATGATTTGATCCAATTTTCGGTGGCTAACACAGCCCTGCACAGGTGATTTCCTATAGGGAAGTGATGGTGGATCTTGATGTACAAATGGAATGTAGAACTACACCGTTCCAAATGATAACATGATCTAGAACTTGGTTCGGGATCATACATCTATAATAGGCATCAAGATCATCAAGCCTTCAATTACATGCGCTTTGACAAAATTTGAATCTTGAAACTCCATGAAGCCATTTCCTTCACAGACAGGAACTGACATGCAAGGTACCCCGAAATGGGATGGTTTACTGAAGATGACCATGTCAGTTCTGCTTCGGGCCCTAGTTTTTGAGTCATTTTCATGTCTTGTTACTGAAGCAGCTATTCCAGTGGGTGACATCCAATAGCTATTATTTTATATGTTAGGGACCCATTTTCATTTTTGATCAAGCGATATGTCTGAACTTCCTTCAATCCCCCGTTTTGCATGGCTTAAATAACTAGATCCTCAGATCTCACAATGTTAGTAAGGCAATGTCATAAACCAGCCATAGTTGATGGATGTTGATGGTGTATACCAGCCATTTAAGGTACATCTGGGGAATTCTGGGGATGGCCTTACTAACCCCAGCCCCTAGATTTTCGGATCCAGCCATCTTCAAATCCCTTTTCGATGCCCACACTACTGCTCGACTTGGCGGATGCGGGAACAGATTCCCCAGAAAAGGTCGGAGATCGGAAAGGTTGGGGGGTTTTAACCATCGAAAGATCTCGATCTGACCACCGAAACCATGAAAAAATCTGGATTTGACCCTCCCAGGAATTACCAGATTGGACCACCAAAACTTTGACCCAGGATGAATTGAGCCTCAAGATCTGGATTTTGACAGCAAGAGATGGGGAAAAACCAGGGATAGAAATGGTTGAAATGGTCCTACCCTCTGGTTGTCTCACCTGGGCAATCGAGAATCATCCTCAAGACATTCAATATCATTCAATGATAGATAGCTGTTGATTTTCGTATGAAGATATATGAAGAATGGGTGTTGCTGAATTCCTCCTGTTTTTGCTGGTGAAATGTCACAACAAATCCCCTCGCCATTCGTGTTTTTCGGCCAAGCGGCCAGGCGGCACAATGATGTCTTCGAGTTTCACATGGCGCCAAAGATCCCGCCGTGTTCCTTGAGTTCGGACTTGGAGGCATCAGCTGGTGTAGAAACTGCCGGCTTGATTCGTGACTAGCTATTCTTGACAATAGGATTTGTTTATTAATTATAAGCCCTATCAACCAATCCAGTACATTGTATAGTGTATTCTACTGCACGATAATGTATGATAATGTTTTACACTGTATTATAATGAATTATTGTTGTATGTATCATTATGTATATATGGGAATGTGGGTGCCGACGGCCGGCGAGTGCCCCAAGCCCTTTTCTTGAAATTGAAAAATCGAAAGCTTGGGGCACCCCTCTTTTGAGACAGTCCCATGTATATACCATAGTATACATATTTTGTTTGCCGGCCACCGGCCCGGCCCACTGGCCCAGCCACCCACACATAAAGGGATGACATTTTGGGTTTTGAGCACGGCTCAATTGTTCCATCCTTGGATATACAGCTGCATTGGAATATTGCGCCGCGGTCTGGCGCCAGAAAGAAAAAGTGAAAGGGGCATTGAAGTAGAAGCCTCCATATTTTGGGGAACCCATAACTGCTATTTTGGGGTCTACAGGATAGCAGGATCTTGACTCGCAGCCATAGCAGCCTTACAAGGAAAGTTTAGCCTGCCTTGTGTCATGGGATGCCAAGTATCGAAGCATGGACCAACATCATCACGAGATGTGCCTTGGCGATCTGCTTCATGTGCTTATTAACCCCCCATTCTATGGTCCCAAAAGATGTGTCAATCCCCTAGAAAAAAACCATGGTTTCTGGTGGATGTTTGATATTCGGGGGGATGATTTTCCTACCCCGGGACTGGGGATGGATCCAAATCTCACCCAACACTAGGGGGGAATCAACATCCTCTAACCAGCTACTTTCGGATAGGGTTCCAGGTATTGACTCGTAGCCAAAGGTTTCGGTGGATGCTTCGTCAGTGACGTCAAGGCAACTTCAGGATACTTCAGGGAGATTCAAGGTACATAGCTGAGCTTAGCTGAGTTGAATCCCGGCCATGTCTCCTTTGTCTATTTGGATTTGTCTGAAAATAGTGTGTACCCCTACACCCAATGGTTAATGATCATTATTATCCCTACTAAATGGCTATAATTGGGGGTATACCCCATTTTCAGACATACCCATTTATCATATCAAGCTACATCCCTGCTCCATAGTAGCTCATTGCCGCCATTGTTTGGTGGTGACATCCTCATCTTTGTTGGGGAAATCCACATTTTGCATGGGAAAATCGGCAGGCTATGGGCACTCAGCATATTTTTGAGGCATGGACAGAGGTCTATAGTATAAGGCCTGTCCAATGTTTATTGGGTTTATTGGGTATTGCAGAAGCGCTGGAGGAGCGAGAAGCGAGAATTCCCGGGTGGCCTGAGGATAGGATCCGTTGAGCTGAGCTGTTCTATCCACAAATGATCAACTGGATCTAACATGAAGCGGTGAAGCCTCAATATGAGTCATATCAACTGCCACTCCAGCACAATGGAGGCTTCTGTTCATGGTCATGAGTCATGTCAAAGCTTCTATTCTTGAAACTTTTCTTGGGCCCACGAGAAGCTTAGACGCTCCCCATGCCCTACCGAAATCGCCGGGTCATGAGTGAATCTCAGGTGGTCGGCGACGACAGTGGCAAGAAGCTTTAGAGCTCTTCGGGCGATGCAATACCAAGGCATCGAATCATTGGGTGAATTCATCAGGAAATGATGGGATGGGATAGAGCCCATCCCAATTGGGATCCCAATTGGGAATGTCATGTTGGCTTTGGACTTCCATGGTGAAACCCAGGACTACAATTGCCTGGGATTGTAGTTCTTGAAACAAGATTGGTTGCTGATTGGGTTGAGATCTAAACCCTATCTCGATAAACGTGTTTTTTTTTCCTGGGAAAAGCGTTCCACCACCAATAAATGGGGATTTCATTCAAGAGCAAACCGTGGTGACTGAACGAGAAATGATGGGTAAACCTTGGTTTATCCATCACAGGCTTCACAATCATGATGGTGAATCCATCATTCATTGGATATATAAATTTTCGTGGGTTGTTGATTTAACCAAAGATAATATATACATATATGGATATGGGATTGGTTGTGTTTTGGCATCAATGGGGTTTTCCAACATCATGAAATGGGACTGGTGACCCTGGTGACTGGCGGATTAATTGGTCATGTTTCTATGAATGGGGATATCCAGCAAACATGCTCTTTTTTTACAGGGTTTCAATGCTTTGACAGTGCAATGGGGATTCGGTCAACAACAATAATTAATCTAGAACGAGGATATGATTTGGTCTCTGAACTGGTTTGGTGGGTTGAACTGCTATTTTGTATGTTTCATCTTTAATTAAGAATAGGGTGGTTATATTACGGATGGGTTGAAACCACCAATCCGTTTGAAGTTTTGTGGTGGACGTCTTGTTGTTGCTTTTCAAATTTTCTTTGGTCTGGTTTGTCGCCAGTTGTTGGCTCTTGTTCTTTGCGTTGTGGTCGGCGATCTCTCCAATTGTGGTATCTTTTTGTAGCTTTGTAATTATTGTTGGTTGGTGTTATCCCATATTTTCCCATCATATTTTCATTTACACTCTGGTAATTTAACATAGCTATAGAAAATCACCATTTTTAATGGGAAAATTTACTATAAATGGCAATTTTCAATAGCTTTTTGTATGTTTACCAGAGGGTAGTTTGATGATTGGCTGGGAAGCTAATCAACATCTTCAAACTTTTTTTCGTCAGAGTCTCTTGTGACTAGCCATCCCTGAGCCACCTTCATCTTTCAAACACCGAAAAATATTCCTAAATTGCTGATTTTATAAAGATTTAGCATAAGTTGCACCGCATTTTTATAGACTATATCAATTTGTACATCACATATTTACATTACATATGATGACATCACATTTACATCACATAGAGGTTTCCTAGAATGGGGCTACCCCCAGTCATCATCCATGTTATTTTCGGATTTTCCATTGTACCCTCTGGTAAACATACAAAAAACTATGGAAAGATCCACCATGTTTAATGGGAAAATCCACTATTTCTATGGCCATTTTCAATAGCTATTTTGACATAACCAGAAGGATATCCCATTCATATCCCATTAAATCCCTATAAATTCCCTATAAAATCCTATTAAATCACTATAACTATTTAACCCATGTTGGTTAAATAACCATCCATTTTCGGAGAAGTTTGGACCAGTTCCTGGCGCCAAAATTCAGCGAAACAAGGCCGATGTGGCGACCTACAATGCGCTGATGACGAGTTGCCAGCAGCTCGGCGAAAGCAACGCCAAAGCAATGCACTAAAAACGTATTGTGGAGACATAAATATATGATATATATGTATGATATAATATGGTATATATACTGCATTTTATTATTATTATATATATAATATAATATAATATAATATAATATAATATAATATGATTATATATATATGATATAATATGGTATATATACTGCATTTTTTTATTATTATATATATAATATAATATGATATAATATAATATAATATAATATAATATGATTATATATATATATGATATAATATGGTATATATACTGCATTTTATTATTATTATTATTATATATAATATAATATAATATAATATAATATAATGTAATATAATATGATTAAAAAAAAATATATATAATGTGGTATATATACTGCAGTTTTTTTTATTGTATATATATATATGATATAATACTCGTATAATATAATATAATATAAAAATAATATAATAATAACAATACAATAATAATGATATAATAATAATAAGAATAAATTATATATATACACATATACAAAGATTGGTTTATATATATATATATGTGGCTAATATGATATTTCAAACCAAGCACCACGCCCTTAACCTTGACCAGTCTTGATCCACAAACGTTTGTCGAGGAGAGCAAGCAGATGGCAGTGGGCTTTGTGGCTCTTCCAACAGATCAAAGTTGCCACGTTGCAAGCGAACAGCCACTGGGCGCCAATGTGTGTGGGATTACAGTAACCATCAAAAATAGGGAGGTAACCAGTGATTGCTGGATTTGGGCCTGTCTGAAAATGGTGCATATCCAAGAATGGCAGGTTAAATAGATGATCAACAATCAAATTTTGGGGTCCCATATTGTCAGACAAATCAAACGTGTACTATAATATACTGCATGATATATAATATGTGTAGATAAAGACATATACATAGTGCTTCGATGTGCCTTTGCAATGTTTGCATTTGCATTGTATATGGTCATCACATGTCATATCTATGTTGGGGTTGCATACATGTTCCAGCAAGATGGCGTTACCGATAGGACTGTGCAGCTTTGCAGGAGCTCCCACTTTATCATGGCCTCCAACAGCTTTGGAATACATAGAATTCTCATGAATTCTCCATATCCGGAGGCAGTTCCTGATCGCTCATTTAAATGATGATAAACATGCGCATGATATTGTCAGCTCATCAATTTTATCCCAGGCATATTTATTTCTCCATAAAGCGGGGAATACTAAAAGCCGGACCCCAGTAGTTGCGGTATATACAGGACCCTCTGGTGATTTAACAGTTTGCTATGGAAGATCCACCATTTTAATGGGAAAAATCGCGATCAATGGTGATTTTCCATAGCTAATTTAAATCACCAGAGGGTACACTAATTGCAGTTTTTATGATACTGGCGATGTGCAATTATTATTGACATAACATATATAGTACCACATACCGGTATCAGTGATTCTTGGCTTTACCACATATCACCTGAGGTAATACCCTCCGGTGATCAAACATGGCTTGCTGGGCAAGAAGCCTCCATTTTGTTCGAGGGTTTCCCAGCTAGCCACGTTTGATGACATCAGAAGGTATATCACATTATATCCCCATGTATCTCTGATATATCCCGAATCCCTATTATATCCCTCTTAGAACCGACATTTTGTTTTTAATACCAGGTTTGTTGGATAGTTATATCCTATATTATCCCAATTTATCCCATATTAACAGTCCCATTTCGTCTCCCCTTTAAGTTGGATGACTTTCCCGTGTCTTTTCATAATATCCTATATTAATCTATGTTCTCATTAATTATAGTTGATTATATCCTATATGATCATATATCTGGTTGGTGGTTTGGAACAGCCTGGGCTCAGATACCTGCCAGGGGTTGGTCGCCACGCCGAATCTGAGTGGTTTGATCACCCCTGTTTTCTAGTGACATGTCGGTTTGGGATAAGCCATGCGATGCTTCTTTCCTCCATCATGACTGGTCAACATTGGAAAAGGGTACAAAGATTTCCCTTGTGTTGGATGTTTTGATTCACACTACTGAAATGCTGGTTGGGATTACAATTCCGGGCAATCAGAGGGTCCGTGTGATTGGCGCAGTGGATGCCAAAGTCAGAGGATGTCGTCGCCTCACCCTGTTCGATGTGATCTTTGACTCCACCCAGGACCAGGTCGACCTCCTCCTCACCGATCAGACTGAGGTGATTGCTCATGGCTTGCGGCCCTCTGAGGATTTGTTTCGGTGTGTTGAGCTGTGCGCTGGCTTGGCATGTTCGAGTGTGGGTCTGTCTGCGGCTGGATTTCGACATGTCTGCAGTGTTGAATGGCGTGCCCCTCTGGTTGAGCTTCACCGTCTCTGCAACCCAGGTGTTCCAGTGATCCATGGTGATATTGCTGACCTTGCTTGCATCCGAGATGTCCTACGCCGCATTGAGCCGCCCTTCACACTGATGACTGGATTTTCATGTCAGCCATACTGCTCCGGAAGATCTCAAGGTGGGTCATGTGACGATCGGTCCAGTACTGTCCCAGCCACCATCAAAGCTTGCCATCTTTGTCAGTGCCCTCTGCTTATCTTGGAATGTGTGACTCAGGCCAGGTCCAACCAGTTTGTCCGGTCCTGCCTCCAAGTGTTGTCCGAACAGCTTGGCTACCACCTTCGAGAAGTGACCTTGAAGTTGGAGGATGTTTGGTGCTCCAAGCGCTACCGGTGGTGGGTTGTGGCGTCGCACCCAGCTCTTGGTCCCATGTCAATCCCCGTTTGGCCGAAGAGTCCCACCTTGTGCATCCGAGACATCATGCCTTTTGTCAAGACTTGGTCCCCTGCTGACATGGCGGCTTTGCAATTGACTGCGCATGAGCAGGCACTGTTCACGCTTGATGGGTCGTCCTTGCGCAAATACTTGGTTCAGATGGATGGCAAGTTGCCGACCAGCTTGCACTCTGCAGGCAGCCAAGCCGATGCATGTCCGTGTGGATGCCGCCAAGCTTTCAGTGAGCAGATGATCCGTCAGAGAGGTGTGTATGCGCAACTTGTGCAATGTCAAATTGATGGCAACGTGGTGTACCGTCACTTGCACCCAATTGAGTTTGCTCTGCTGAATGCAATGCCTCCGCCGCCAGCCCTTTTGCATGGTGATGTTCCCGACTTGAGGTTATGCCTTGGAGCCATTGGCCAGCTTGCTTCCCCCTTGCAATCGGTGTGGATTGGTGCTAGTGTCATGCAACAGCTGCGGCAACTCTTGGATTTTAGCCCCATCATGCCCAGTGAAATCCTTGGCAACTTCAAAACTTTGCTGTTTCAGTGTGCCAGAGATGCCTTTCCCAATGTGCCTGCGCCTCCTTCCCGTTTTGGTTGGACTGACCTGGTCTACCCGGATGGCACGAGCACTCGTGTGCAGGTTTTTGAAGACACCACTGCCATTGAGTTGTTTCAAGCAGAGTTTGCATTGACCAAAGAGGCTCCGGCAGACCAATGGATTGATGAAGCATCAGGGGCGACTCTGGACTTTTACACCCCTGTGGCTGGAAAGCGCATTCTTGTGACTGGTGTCCCACCGTTGCCTCTCCGTTCTGCCACAGCGAGTGCGTCCTCTGCTGCTGCTGCGTCCCCTCCTTTGGATTTCTCTGATGTGAGTGTCTCGCATGCTGAACCCCCTGCAACTGACCTTGACCCGATCGAAGAGGTGTCAGACCAGCCTGAAGATGAACCCATGCCACCTGAGGGCCATGTGGACAGTGACATTGACACTTTTGACACCACCCGTTCCAGTGGCGCTGCTGCCTCTGCTTCTGGACACTCCATGGACACGCTCTTTGGACTTCACAATTTGACTGGTGTGCAATTGTCTGCGTTGGTTCCTCCTCTGGTCCCTGACCTTCGTTCCTGTCGCATGTTCCGTCAAGCCACTGTCCACTCACCTTCTCGGCTTGCAGTGCTTGAAAATCAAGGCAGTGCCATGGGCGATGATGAAATCACCTTGCACATGTATGCTTGCCTTTACCTTTCTGGACGCAAAGAAGTTCAGTTTTTGGATCCGTTGCTTGCCGTTGGTTGGCTTAAATGTGGCACTGTTGAGAGCGTGACAGAATGGGTTCAACAATACCCTGCAGTAAACCACATTTTCACTGCCATTCCTGTCAATGACCACTGGATGCCAGTCATGTGGACTCTTGGTCAAAATGAGGTGCGTGTTGCGATGTGGGAACACAATGATGTTGAGATTGATGAGTTGAGCTCTTTGCATGGCCTGATTTGCTCTGCTTGGAAGAAACCTCACTTCAGCCTGGCTTGCACTCGCCGGTCGTTTGCACGAGGGTACTGTGGAGCTGCTGCCGTTGCCTTTGCTTTTCATAAGCTCCTTGGCAAGGATCTTCCGTCTTCTGAAGCTGAGTTGATTGAACTTCACTTGGACTTGAAGGCCAGCTTCGTTGAAGCCAGTCGTGCAGAGGTTTTTCATCGCAAACCATGGTGCTGGGGTCTTGGCGTGCCTGATGTTGTTGGACTTACCAGTGAGCTCTTGAAGTCGCATGGTGTTCCTGATTCTCAAGCCACTCTTCGTGCTCGTCTTGTGGTCCAGTCACTTGGCAAACATGAAGTTCACCAGGCTGTCACAGGCATCTCTCCATGGAAGTCTTTGAAAACCCTTGCCAACTTGCAAAGCCCTCCCCTTCAAATGGTTCTGCCTGATGAACAGCAACAGCACAACCAGGGAAAGCCTGCCAGCAAGCCCAAAAGCCGCACCGCAGGCAAGAGACTTGCCCCTTCCAAGCCAGCTGAACTTGATCCGAGTAAGCTTGCGATTGAGCATGGAGCCTTCTGCACTCAAAATGATGCACTTGGCCAGATCTCAGTTGCTAGCATTGGTCCTCTTGCCACAGGTGTTGCTATCACCAGCTACCAAGCTGCACTGCCGTTTTTGCAGTCAGGGCAAATCCTGACAAACCATGGCCTTGCCTTGTTGGTCCTTGGGTCCCCAACTGACTTGCAAACGACGTTGGACTGGTCGACAATTCGATTTGCCGCCAGATGCAGCATGAATCAGGAACCAATGCTTGTCTCAGGAATTTTGGTTCAGCTTGGGCGCATGCCAGTGTTCCAATACACAGCCCGTGATATCCCGGCCATCCCTTCTGTTGAGGTTGCTTGTGCCAGAATCACCGTGTTTCAGGACCAGTGGGATGGCAATTGGGAAGAATTTTCAGGTCGCCCGGTCAAGCATGTACTGGCTGTCCTGCAATGCCTCCAGACCTGTCGCAATGGCCAAGCCTGCACCTGCCCAGCCTGGCATCCGACCCAGGACCAAACCCATGATGCAGTCCTTGATGTGTTCAGACGCCAATTCTTCAATGAGGCTGGACGTGTTGTCAAGTGGGACAAGGCCACCCATTTTGGATTTTTTGTCCGATATGTCAAGCACCTTGAGCAGAAGGTCCTGTGTGCCAGCGGTCAGCATGGTATCTTCACGGAGCCCAAGACAGAGGATGCCCTCAAGCCGCACAGTGACTACCAAGTTGTCTGGTTGCCGCAGCTGGATTTCGGCGCTGTCGCTCACAAGGCTCAATGTGAAGCCCAAAGTTTGGGGGTCGCCCGCTCAGGTAAGAGGTTCGGCTTGCGTGTCCATGTCTCCAACTTCCAGAAGGTCTTCACCAACACAAAGCCTGATGCTGTGTACCTGGCCCCAGGGAGCAGAGTCACCTACCAATGCGGACCATGGCCTTTCGGGTCCGATCGCAAGAGCATTGCCCGCATCCTGAAAGCCAGTGGCTGGGAAAGCAGGCCACTTCAGCCACTACATCATGTTCCCGGAGGATTGATGTGGGCAGTCCAGGCTGTAGTTGACCCACCCGTCAACTTGCTTGCAATGCAGCATGGTCAGGTCTTGATCACTCGCCAGGACACCAAGGCCCTTCCTGCTGAGCCGGTTCCCTCTGTTGTCGGCCATGCCAAGACCTTGGAATTGTGTCGCTCCTCAGACCCCGCTGCTTCTGACCCGTGGCTCACCAATGATCCCTGGTCGAAGGCCATTGCCCAGGCACCTGCAGTTGCTCCTGCCCCTCCGGCTCCCAATGTTTTGCATGAGCTGGAGCAGCGCCTTGAGCAGTCGATCCTCTCCAAGCTGCCCACGGAGAAGATGGACGTTGACGATCAGGACATGAGGTTGCAACAGCTTGAGAGCCAGGTCCACCTGCTCACGACCAAAGTCCACCATCCACGAGCATCATCAGCAGAACGCCGCACAGGTTCAGACGCTTCAACAGCAGATGAAGATGCAAATGGACTTACAGACACAGCACATGTCCACGATGCTCACGGATCAAATGAGCCGTATCGAGGCGATTTTGTCCAAGAAACCTCGTACTGAGTGAAAGCAAGGGGGCCCTGGCGTTTTGCCCGGAGCCAGGGTGACCCCGGGGTTTCTTCGCCCCTTCAGGGCACTTCTCTCCATTGTTTTGATTTTGACCATGTGTCGCATTGGTGAAGCACGAGTTCCTGGCCCAGATGCCCCATGGAAGCTTGGGATTTGCAATCCCTCCGGATTGCAGGGTAAGCACCATATCCTTTCCAGCATCGATGCCAATGTTGTTGCCATCTCTGAGACACATTTGACCAAGGCTGCCCGTCGCAACCTTGCCCTTTCTCTTCGATCCACAGGTTCCAAGTTCAAACAGGTGCTGACTGGAGCTCCCCTCGCTCCACGTGCTGACTCAAGTGATGCAGGACTTTGGTCTGGGGTTGCAATGGTCTCTGAGTATCCCTGCAGATCTCTTGCTGTTGACTGGCCCCCCGATGTCTATGAAACTGCACGTGTGCAATTCAGTGCATTCTTTGCTCCCACCGGTTGGATTTCAGGTGCAGTCCTCTACGGCTATCCTGAAGGCCGTAAGCATCCACATGCGCATGCCAAAACTGAGGGCTTACTGGATTTTGCCTTTGACAGGTTGACTTTGCAACCTGGCCCCAAGTTCATGGCAGGGGATTGGAATTTTTCCCTTGACTCTTTGGCTGTTTCCAGACGCCTCTTGGATGCTGGTTGGATTGAAGCCCAAGACCTTTGGTATGCCCGTACCGGACAATCAGTGCGGAACACTTGCAAGGGGGCCACGCGCAAGGATTTCTTATGGATTTCTCCTGAGTTAGCTCTGCGGTTTCTGGACTTGACTTTGGACTCTGAAACTTTTGCTGACCATGCGGTCCTTGTTGCCTCTTTTGCCGGTGGTTCTGAACACCTTGAGCGGTTTGTCTGGCCTTGCCCCAAGCCTGTCCCGTGGACTTCTGTTGCACCCCTTGCCCACCCCGTGGACTTTGCAGCCCCCCTTGATCCCACGGCCCAGTATGCCAAGCTTTGGCAGCTCAAGGAATCTACTGCCAAGCAAGAGTTGCAATCTGACTGGATGCCCAATATGGCTGGCAGAGCAGCCCAACTGAAACCAAAGCGTATTGTGGGCAGCCAAGCCCCTTTGAAACATGGGCGAGCTGGGGACGTTCAGCCAGGTTTCTTTGGATTTTCTGCTTTGCATGCCAAGCAATTCAAACAAGTGCGACGTCTGCAAAACTACTGCAGGTGGGTTGACCAGCGTCCCCGCACAGGTGTTGTGGACTGCCTTCATGGAATTGGTCTTTGGAATTCCATTCTCCGTGCTCCCGGTTTTGGTTCTTCGTTCACTGACTGGTGGTTGACACGTCACTTTGTGAGCACTGCTGATCCGGCTACCATGCCACAATTTTGTCCCGGCCCTGAGTTTGCCCGTCAAATCTTTGACGCAGTTCTGGCTGAAGTTCGACTGTTTGAGCAACGCCTCCTGCGAGCACAGATTGCCCACCGAACAGCCAGACACGAACATGATCGGCACTTGGTCTTTCGTGAGGTTGCCCGTGACCCACCTGAGCCAGTTGAGACCCTGATCCATCGGGTCGATGCAGTGGTCAATGCAGTTGATGCTCATGAATGTGCAGTTGAGCTTGATCGCCCGGTTGCGTTGGTTCCCCATGAAACCCTTTGGATTGCAGGTCAGGCACATGAGGTCATTCATGCGGAAGCCGACAAAGTTTGGATAGATGATGTGACGGCAATTCAGCCCTCTGACAAACTTGTGCAGACCAAATATGTGGGAGATTTGCGTGCGGTTTTTGAAGCCTTCCATGAGCAATGGCAACTCCGCTGGTGCAAGCATGATGCAGTTCCGTTCACCCATTGGTCTGAACTTGTGGACTTTGCCAAGCATGTCATCCGTCCTTGCCCTGTGCAGCATTTGGTTGTTGACGGCCCTTTGATTCAGGCAGAAGGTTCCCGTAAGAAGAAGCGGGCAGCCACTGGACTTGATGGGGTTAGCCGCACCGATATTGTCACTGCAGACCCGGCCACGCTCTCCAGCATTGCCAACCTCTATGCGAGGGCAGAAACTGATGGGGAGTGGCCTACACAACTTGTGGCAGGCAAAGTCCACTCTTTGGCCAAAACCGCTGATGCCAGCGCAGTCGGCGATTATCGCCCAATCACAATCTTTGGATTGCCATATCGCATTTGGAGCAGCATCCAATCGAGGCATTTGTTGCAATTCGCTGAAGATTGGGTTGATGACAGTGTCTTTGGTAACAGAAAAGGCAGGCAGGCCGCAGATCTTTGGAATTTCCTCCTCCATGAGATAGAGACTGCCTATGCCACATCCACTGCTTTGACAGGAATTTCGGCCGATTTGGTCAAGTGCTTCAACTGCATACCTCGGTTCCCTGCTCTGTGTCTTGCGGTGTTGGTTGGCACGCCTGATCCCGTTACAATTGCCTGGAGTGGGGCCCTTGCCCAAATGTGCAGGCACTTCAAGGTCCGTGAATCCTATTCCGATGGGTTCTTGACTAGCACTGGCTTGGCTGAAGGATGTGGTTTGAGCGTTTTTGGAATGCTTCTGGTGGACCATCTCTTTGCTTGTTGGATGCGGGTTCAATCTCCACAGATCCGATGTCTGACCTATGTTGATGACTGGCAAACCCTCACCTCCGACCCCTCAGTTGCTGTGCGTCAACTTGAATTGGTTGAAAAGTTTGCTGGCCTGTTGGACTTAACTGTTGACAAGCGCAAAACCTTCGCCTGGGCTACCTGTCCTGAGCTCCGCTTGACCCTGCGGGCTGCTGGAATTACGGTGCTGCACCATGCACGAGAGCTTGGAGGACATCTGGGAATTTCCAAGCAGTACACCAACCGCACATTGACACAGCGCATTGCAGAGTTGGATTCCTTTTGGAGCAAGCTCCGTTCCAGCAAGGCTCGCCTGCCTGCCAAGGTGTTCATGTTGCGTGCTGTTGCCTGGCCGAGAGGTTTACATGCGGTGTCCAGTGCCCCTGTCGGCAACCAAGTTTGGCTCACCCTTCGCCGCCAAGCTCTCAAGTCCCTTGGTTGGCAGCGTCCCGGAGTCAACCCCGCTGTTTTCCTGGACCTGGTTGAACGTGATGTTGACCCCCAACTTGTTGCTTTGCAATGGACTTTCCGTGATTTGACCGTTCACAGTCCCGCTGACTTTTGTGCCACCACTGTTGCTCCTCTGGCGCATGGAGATCTTGACTTACCTCCAAATTCTCCAGCAGTGATCCTCCTTCACCGGTTATTGTCGCTTGGGTGGTCGGTTGACAGTTCTGGCTTGGTGCATGACCGTTTTGGAGCCTTCTGCCTTCAAGCCTGCAACCGCTCTGAGGTCAAACTCCGACTCACATGGGCTTGGAATTCCTTGGTTGCCCAGAAGGTTGCTCACCGATCTGACTTTGAAGGTTTGGCCAACGTCGACCTTGGAGCAACGCGCAAAGCTCTGCACAGCCTTGCACCTGATGACCAGGCCATGTATCGACTTAGTTTGAGCGGTGGTCTTTTTACAGAGCGGTACAAAGCCAAATGGACTGACCAACCTGACCAGTGCCGTTGGTGTGGAGCCTCTGATACGTTGAAACATCGGTATTGGGAGTGCCCACAACACCAAGACCTCAGAGAGTCCCTTGCTCCAGATGCTACGGCTGTGCTTGACTTCCTGCCAGCCGCTCTTGCGTTGCGTGGTTGGGCCCTTCTCCCCCCTACCTGGCCGGTTTGGACTCAGTTGTTGCTGGACTTGCCTGCGGACGTTCCCTTGCCTTGGTGTACCTTCCCGAGTGCCCCTATCGTCGATGTGTTCACTGATGGTTCATGTCTGTGTCAGTCGGATCCATTGCTCAGATGTGCCGCGTGGTCAGTGACCGTTGTGCCCCCTTTTCAAGCAGATTGGCAACCTGGCCGTGTCCATGTTTTGTGTGCGTCCTTTTTGCCTGGCCTGTGTCAGTCGGCTTACAGAGCAGAATTGTACGCAGTTGCATATGCCTTACATCGAGCTGCAGATTCACAGACCTCAGTGCGTGTGTGGACAGATTGCTTGGGTGTGATATTGAAGTTCAACTGGTTGGTGCGGGGACAACACAAAGTGAACCCGAACAGAAGCAATGCAGATTTGTGGACGTGGGTCGTGCAGTCCGTTGACCGCATCTGCCGGCATCAGGTTTCGCTTCACAAAGTTCCAGCACATCGCGCTCTGCATAGCGCTACAACAAAGAAGGAGGCGTGGTTGTTCTTCCACAATGACTTGGCTGACAAGGCGGCCAGACAGGCCAACCAGACACGGCCACCGGAATTTTGGAAGATTTGGGAGCGCCATGCTCAAGAAGCAATTCGGGCAGGCAACCTTTATCAACAAGTGAAGGACCTCCACATTGCAGTGGGTAGGCGACAGGTACAGGTCACTTCAACCGCGGATCCTGTGCCTGAGCCTATCCGCCCTACACGAGAGTTTGCAGTCCACTTTGATTTGGGTACATGGCAAGGTGAGATGCCTCCTGGAGTTGGACGCCTTTTTGGTGTTGAGATTGTTCGAAAGGCCATCAGCTGGTTTTTTGCAAGGATTGTGGTGGATGGAGATACGCCACCACTCTGGATATCTTTTCATCAATTATACATTGACTTCCAGCTCACTTGGGGACACCCTGGCCCGCTCAAAGTTCAAAGGCAATGGGTGGACGTCGATGCCCGTCCTTACATCGCTGCCGAAGACCATTCTTGCAGGGTTCGTGTGCGATGGTTCCGGCAACTGTTGAAGGCTCTTTGGAAGGCCGCGGGTGTTACCATTGCAATGGAACAATGCAGACCGCATTCCGGCTTGTTGCAGGCCTACTTGCCCTCTGCTTCAGTCAAATGGGATGCCCGTGCTCTCCAGGAGACTGAAGCATGGCTGAGTTCGACCTTGACGAAGCCCTGCACCCGCGATGCCAAAGTTCTGGCCTCTCTGCCGCTCGCGGTGCAGAGCGAAAGGATGCGGCTTGCTTAGATCAGGTCTCACCGCCTGTGTGCCTCGCTCCACCACATGAGCAGGTACGTGAACCGAAAATGGGACCGAAAATGGTGGTTTGGAACATGAATTTTATTTTTCCATAATAAATATGATAATCGTCCCAACTGACTTTCATATTTTTCAGAGGGGTAGGTCAACCACCAACCAGATATATATTATCCTATATGATCATCAATTATAGTTGATTATAGTTAATTGTAGTTGATTATAGTTGATTATAGTTAATTATAGTTGATTATAGCTGATTATAGTTGATTATAGTAGATTATAGTTGATTATAGTTGAAATAGTTAATTATAGTTAATTATACTTGATTATATCCTATATGATCATATATTATTGTATTATCCCATAAAAAGGAACAGCCACAGCCATGACAGGAATCAGTTACACCGCCGCCATCGAAGCGTGCCGCGGCCTGGATCCCGACATCGCAGCGCAGACAGCGCTGGAACTTCTTCAGACGTGCGACGCAGGCGACCGTTGGAGGGTGGATTTCAGGTGACTTTCGAAGATTTCAGGGTTTTAATGGGAAAACCATAGGAAAACCATAGGAACACCATAGGAAAACCATTGGAAAACCATAGGAAAATGGTGATAGTACCCTACTGGTAAACGTTTACATGACTATGGAGATCCAGCATCTTTAATGGGAAAATCAACTGTAAATGGCCATTTTCAATAGCTATGTTAGTTTACTAGAGGGTAATAGAAATAGAAATCATATATATAACTGGATAGTAATAGAAATACTATTTGATAATGATAATATCGGAGAATCAGATTCTAGTCATATTGAACTTCACTTATACCTATAGTATGATATAGTACTTATGGATATAGACCTGTGACGCAACTATCTGATATGAAGTGGCGAAGCGGTGTATTTGATATTGGCATACACCACTTCGTATAAGATGTGATAATATTCAGTAGAAACAGAATCAAATATAGCAGTAAGTAGCAGGTCTGAGACGTCTCTCCAGCAGTCCGCAAATGGTAAACCCGCAACCCTTTGAGTTGGATAAGAATGGCCTCAACTGGCGGAGTGGGAAAGCCTCATTCCTTATGTTGTTCGGTGCGTTTGTACAGAACGTCTGAGGGTTTGTGGCTCCAAGTGTCACACTGAAACATCTCAACCTGGGATCTTGCAATATGGACTGACTCAATTATACACATATATAATACACACCATGCAACACATGGTGTAGTGTGATACTTTACGATATATAGATACATACATATTATATATATATGTATGCTATAGAATTACATGTATATGTAGGCATGTACGAATAAACTTATCTTGAGACCAAGAGATCAAAATTGCCAGGCATCCGTGCGGATGTCATTGCGTTCAATGCAGCCATGAAGACTTGTGCAGGAGCCCCACCCAAAACGCTGTCATCATGGCCTGTTGGAAGATCCCCAATATGTGGTGATTTTCCCAGCTATGAACTACGATAAACCCAGTCATTTTTGGGATAATCATTAAATCATAGCTGGGAAACTAATAGATAGTATTTGCAATTTTCAGGGTTAATTAACCAGCTATAGATGGATAAATGGAGTTTGGATCTAACCCATCATTAAGGAGATAGTACCATTACAATTTTCAGGGTTGCTCCAAACTCCAAACCATTACAGCTAAACTTAAATGATAGTCACAAGAGGGGAAATTCGGTACTTCAACTGATCACGAGAGAAGCCTTGTTTCATGGGTAGCGAGTATCCCAACTTTAACACGTAAGCTCTTGTTTGGCCATTTCCAGTGGTAAAATCAACCTTGGGACCCCTTTTTCAGTTTCCAGAAGTATGTAAGCAGATTTGAACCTCAAGAAAAACTTGGGGAGTGTCATATTTTTTCCCTACAATTTTGGTGCTTCCAATATCATTTCTGAGGTCTCGCCTTGTAGATCGATGGTGTATCCTGTTGCCATTAGATGGGGTGGCCCAACTACCCAAAAAACCTCCAGTTTTGGAGGGGTTTTACATGTTTATACCAGCATATACCATATACCACCCATGTATAGTGAATTTGAGGATGGTTTATGGCACTATGCAGATTACCACGTTAGAAATCTTCAAGATCTTTGACGTCCAGTTCCTTGAAGCAAAAAGATATCTTGATTATCTTGGGAGACTACGGGCTTTTCGCCGCTCGACAAGGAGACTGGCAGCACGTGCTGCAGTTGATGGAGATGTAACTTGTTTGCTTCCGGCATTGCTGAGCATTTGGTCAACATTTGGAATTTGGACCGCGAATCAACATCCAATAACATCCACAACAATTTTTTTGACCCTCTTCCATGAATCCTACGGTCCTACAGGATAATGAGGGTCCCTGCCTTAGTTCCCCTTGTTTCTGTTGGGTGGTCATCCCTCGACCCCTCGACCAACGTGTTTTTTTCATTTTTTTTTCCAACGGTGAGGTTAGTTCAGTCGGAGCTGCAAGCCGATGTGATCAGTTACAACACATCGATTGATGTGTGCCTCGGTATGAATGAAAAGGGAGCCGGGAAAGTCATTAAAATCAATCACCAGTAATAATTATACAGAATAAACAGATGATAATAATAGTACTAGTAACGGTCATGATCACAATATTGATATTATATACAGTATACTGTTATTCACTTTTATCATCATCATATTAATCACCAGTAAAACATACTAATTTACTTTCAATAATCATAATAATCACCAGTAAAACAGAATAATAGATGCTAATCATCTACTAGTAATATGGTAATAATAGATATTATGATGATAGATACTAATCATCTATTAATTATCTGGTTATTTAACATAGCCATGAGAAATGACCCATTTATAGATGGTTTACCCATTAAAAATGGTGATTTTCCATGGCGCCCGCCGCCAGGTACGGCAAGGGCAGCCAGTGGCAACGCTCCTTGCAGCTGCTCGAGGACACGCCGTGACAAGAAAGCGGCGCAAACCGTGAACAGCGACAACGTTGAATGGTGATTTTGAGAGTTTAGTATGGGTGTTATGTAGTTTAATTGGGATAATATTGGGATAATAATGGGACAATAAATTAGAGATGGATTTACCTGATTCATTGGCCAGCAATGAACCATGGCAATTGAAAATGGACCTATTAATAGAGGTTTCAAATGGTTTTCATGGGAAAGTCATCTATTAATGGAGACAGTTTATGATTTTCTTCACCACACTAAGATCCACTAAGTACGAAGATCTGGTTCGTACGGAGTGCCGCAACACTGGAAGGATATGTGCAGCTCAAGGCTCCAGCCAGATCTCATCAGCTACAATGCAGCCATCAGTTCTTTGGCATGCCGGGGATGTAATCCCAACGAACATGGGGATACAGTATCAGACTAAAATGGGATGTAAAGTGGGGTATATAGCCAGTAAACCCAAAATGGTTTTGTCTCAAAATGGGGACACCCCAAAACTTGTCATCTGAATGGGCCAAATGGGTTTTAACCTTTGGATTCTGGGATTTTCAATTTTTGCGACCACCCCAGATGTACAAAAAGATAAATCCCTCCAAAACGGTGGAATGTCTGGGCCGAGGTTCCTGCGAAAACGGAGAATGTTGGCAGGAAGCTTTGGTCCTGTTGCTGAGCGGCACCCAGGGTGGTTTGTTCCCTCTGGGAATCAAACATGGCTGGTAAAACCTCATGAGAATCACAAGTCATGGAGGTTTGCTGGGCAAATCATCGAACTGCAATGGAATATTCCCTATAAATGATCAATGGCCTGATCAATGGCCTTATAAATATGGTTCATTTTACATGTAGGATTCAATGGGAAACCAACTAGACATGGTGGATTTTCCATTGCCATGTTTGATTCCCGGAGGCTATTGCAAGTGAGAAGGCGGCCGGTTGGCAGATCAGTTTCGGTCTATCCTCCTGCATCCACCAAACCAATAAACTGCCGGCCCCTACAAAATGGCGGTAAGGGTTCAAGGACCATCCAAGGTTTTCACCAGATTTGCAAGAACTCAACTGATTCGAGCTAGAAACAGCTAGTATGCGTCATTTTACATTCGCACATTTCCAACAATTTGACCCCCATCGGCCCGTTGTTTCAGACAGATTTTTTTTCAGCCATGGAGGTTGGACGAGATTGACTGGATCCTGTCTTGCAACGTGATTTCCGTGGGAGCTGCCATCAGTACGTGCGGCAAAGGCTGCTTGGTGGAACCTGGGGGTCGATGGCGGCGCTCAGAAATGGGGTTTCATGGACTCGATGGCTGGAGCCAGAGCCAAATCCTCGCTGCTTCCCCCCCTTTCCATCTTAGTAGGAAGGAGGCCAAGGGAGAAGAGTCATCTCTGGCTTTCTTGGCCCTAGAGCCTTTTCCTCCCGAACAACTGTTTTGCGTCTTTGCGCATAAATGTGTGCCCCCGAAACCGTTCGATTCCGAATTCTATGACCCATTCTCATTGATTGTTTTTTGGGGTGCCAATTTTTAGAGACTCCATTGGTGGCATGGGACATGCTTTTCAGGACCCGAAACCGTTCCTGCATGCTATGGCATGCTATGGCTTACCCCTTTGTGAGTTTCACAAGCCCCACTTGTGCGACAGTTCCGGTTGACATGGCTTTATTTCAGCGCCAAAGAACCATCGCATAGATGTTCCAATGTCTCATTTCTCACAAACTTACTGATTAACATAGCAGGGTACATGTTTCACATGGCAGAGGTTCAATGGATAAGGAGCTGTTTGGTGACTTTTGGGGGCCTTATCATTCTTCAGAACAAGGAGATCTTGTTGAGACCCAGTTGCCAACCCAGATCCCCTGATGGGTTGAAGACAAAACCAACCAGCCATTGATGTCCTAGATGACAGTAGGGAAAACTTGGTGCACTATGATAGTTCAGCCAGACTGGTTGGTATATCCCTTGCCATCCCCCAAGTAACAAAAGAACACTTTCCTCCAAGCATAGTTGGAGGATATTGGCGGATGGTAAATTTCCGTGAATATTTCGAATCATTATATAATCATTATAATTATATATAGCAACCCCCCCCCAAAAGCTAGAAAAGTACAATCCTACTAACAAAAAACCTAGGCAAATTCCTGGCAGATGATTTTTCTATCTTCGTTGCCAAAAAGTAAGGAGACCACATCCATCTGCCAAGGCTTCTTTTGGCGCCACTCCGTTAAGCTCTTGTCCATCCTCCCGGATCCTTGTGGAGAAAGTTGGAACAGTTTGACACCTGAAAATCAGATCCACCTATAATATATATATATACATATATATAGATATCATTAAACACATATCCCCTCAAACTTGCCACATCATTCTGTGATTAGTAATTAAATCCCATTTTTTCAATGACATCCGTATTTCTGATGATCAAATCCCAATTCTTGGGTATAAAATCTATCCATCAATCCATGATGTTTTAATAGTAACATCTCCATTATTTTGCTGTGAATCCCATCTTTTTCTTGGGTAAAATCTCCATATCCCATCATATCCCCAAGTTTTGTGGTAAAATCCCCAACATTGTTGTGGTAAAATATCCAATTTTTCGGTAAAATCCCCAAGTTTTGTCGTAAAAATCCCCAAGTTTTTGGGTAAAAATCTCCAAGTTGTTGGGTCAAATCCCAATGTTTTCATGGTAAAATGATGATAACATGTCGATGTGCTGAGGATCGTTCCCTTCGTTGTAACCTGGTGACCTTGGACTCCGCAATCAGCGCCTGCGGTAACGGAGGATGGCGCCCGGCGGTGGAGCTGGTATGCCAAACGCGGCTGGAAGGCGATCCTGGGAGGTAAAAACTATGGGGGTTGTATAATATACATTTATTAATATATATATATAATATTATATATAATATATATAATATAATACATATATATATAATATATGATGATAATGTATGTATATATACATACAAATATATTATGTACATACATTTGTATCATATAATATGAATATACACAGTAAGTGTTCACAACATGTATCTCTCTCTATATATAAAAACTACTATACGGTGTTTATGTACATATGTTCATATTTCATCCCAATCACGAATCAAACCACCACTTATGAACCTGCTGCGTGGGCAAGGTTTGCAGTGCAACATGATCACCATCAATGCTGCCATCAGTGCCAGTGCAAGCTGTTGGCGAATGGCGTTGGCCCTGTTGGCAAGTGCTGACAACAGCAGTTTCCCAACAGGCATGGAGGAATTTGGGGCAGAAGCTGTTGAGCAGTGGCTGCTATACTCCTTGAAGTTAGCTGATGAGGATATAATGATTGGAATAGTCTGGGGATGTCTGGGGCTCATACCAGCCTTTATTTGGGATTATCATTAGCCATTCTTGGTATCCGGAGCCAAGATGGAGATGGACGATGGTCCCAATGGACATTGTGCATCTGTCTTTCTGTTGTTTTCTTTTGGGGGGCAGACCAAAACAGAGCGGCTTCTGTGACACCTGGCTTTCCTGTGACAGTGCATCACTTTCCTGGGATTCAATGACTAGCCTGTCATTAGGTAAGCAGTGCCAAGCATTCCAAGAGGCGAGTCGAGGCTAAAATGTTGATGTTCCCAGGCAGCAATCCCAATTAAATTGGTTAGAATATGTTAAAATCTTGGCGTAGACATTTACATAAACAATTTTACATAGTTACTCCTTGCTCATCCTCATTCCTGTGCATCCTCTTTCCGTCATTTTCCGCAGGTGTCATCGCTTTCAATGCAGCCATTGGGGCTTGCGCTGAGGGTTGTAGATTCCAACCAGCAGCAAAAACGGATCCTGGGAGCATTTGCTGAGGGAAAGGATTGGAAGAACCCACCCAAAACAGGCAGCGCTCACACAGAAAAAAACCACCTACAATCGACCTACAAGTTGGTACAGTATGTTTACGTCCAGGGTACCGGGAACCACTGAAGGAATATGTTTGCTGATGCATGGCTTTGTTTAGGCTCCACTTGATACTAAACTAAATGCATTCTTCAAAATCCTGGTTTTATATTGGACCTATTCATTTTGGGGTCATTGTTGGGTATTTAATCCAAAGTATATAATTTGTATATATATATATATATACCCTCTGGTAATTTTACATAGCTATTGAAAATGGCCATAGAAATAGTGAGTTTTCCCATTAAAAATGGGGATTGTCCAGTTCGTTATGTAAAACCAGGAGGGTACTATCACCATTTTCCTATGATTTTCCTATGGTTTTCCCATTAAAACCCTGTAAACGTTTACCAGAGGCTATACATATCCCTGGATTTCAGAATGGCAAGACCCTGGATTTCACCACTTCGATGGTGAAATCCCAAGTCTGATCCATTTTCCATGGTGAAACCATCATTTTCCATGGTGAAACCATCATTTTCCATGGTGAAACCATCATTTTCCATGGTGAAACCATCATTTTCCATGGTGAAACCATCATTTTCCATGGTGAAACCATCATTTTCCATGGTGAAACCATCATTTTCCATGGTGAAACCATCATTTTCCATGGTGAAACCATCATTTTCCATGGTGAAACCATCATTTTCCATGGTGAAACCATCATTTTCCATGGTGAAACCATCATTTTCCATGGTGAAACCATCATTTTCCATGGTGAAACCATCATTGTTGTTGGTTGAACCTCCATTTTTCATCGAGTCCTCTGTTCGCCAGGCGACGTTTGAAGCTGCCCAGACGCAGGACGTGATCCAGCGGTCGGGGGACGCGGGTCAAATCCAGGATGCTATGGAAAACCCTGTGGTAAACATAGAAAAAACGATGGATTTGGTGGTTTGGGAACCATGGAATTTTATGACTTTCCATTCAGTTGGGAATAGTAAGCCCAACTGACGAAGTCATATTTTTCAGTAGGTATACCACCAACGTATCAATGTTTTGCAGTGGCCCATTACAGCATATACCCATTGAAATTCCCATGAACATTCCCACTAAAATCCCCATGATATCATTATATACCCATTATATTCCCACTATTATCATAAACTGCTGGATTATTGATAGTCAGTATATGTCAGTATAACCTTTTGCATCCTTTGCTATAGCCCATTACTGTATATCCCCATTAAAATCTCATTGAAATCACCGTTCCAGTGATATAAACCTTTCCTCACCTCGTCTCCAAAGAAATCGAGGTCCTGCAACATCTTCCTTGCTGCTCGAGCGCTCAGATGTTGGCGAACATCAGGGAATCATTCCCCACAAGTTTGCATTTTTTTAGATATCTTAATTTTGAAATGATAGTTTAAGTAATAGTTGAACTCAGTTCCGTGCTTTGCCTAGAATCAGATCTAATTTGATCTAAATACCAGGATTTCGCGTTTTATCACCAGTTTTCTAGATTTGACCATGTTTTATGTCCATGGTAAAGCCGAACTTTCCTTGGTGAAGACGCAGCGCGCTAGGCCAATGACAGCGATTGGGTCCATGGCGTGTCCGGTTGCTGAGGAGTTTGAGGGAAACATTGAAGAAAGCATCGGGGGATTGAAACAATATGAATCAATCAACCAAAAACGGGAAAATACGAACTATCGCCGGACTAAACATGGGGATTTATGGGATTTTGCCACCATGTTCAGGTGAACAAATGGGATTAACTATGAAACATGGGGGATATAACCATCAAGAGCAATGGGAACAAAGTGGATTTATATATAGTGTAACCGCACCAACATGGTGGCAAAACGTGTGATGCTAATTTAGGTGAATGACCATTGTTTATCCAAAACTACAGCTGGATGTATTACCACACCCTTAATTTTTTAGCTTTTGGGGGATCAACAAAGCGCCACGACAAGTGGGTGTACAAGCAACCAAAAATGGAATAGTAGATGATAGAAACAAAAAAACATAGGATAAATTTGAATGAACCCTTGGACAGTTCTTGTTTCTCATAGGCGGATAGGGACAATTCATGGCCAATCCCACACCAGAAACACTGGTTCCCCTATAAGTTCAAAGGGACAAAGGGTTACCCCAGCTTGTGCATGAATTTGCCCATCAATAGGGCTTGAGATCTGACTTTCTGTTGGGCTTCAAAATTTACTTGTACAATTTGGTGGCATGAAGTGAGAGACGCATCTTTGGGGCAACAAGTGCTTGGGAACTTCCTAATCTTCTTGAGGGAGAGACCCGCTTCAAGAAATACAAAGCTGAACACCAAACCACGGATGTCCTTTATCAAAGTGGCAATTGCCCTCTTTGTTTCTGTTTGTGTGGATGTTTGCTTGTGTGTCCGCTCTTGCTGGTAGTTTCTGATTGGTATGCAGTACCTGAATCAACATGTTTGGACATGTGAAGATACAGCGAAATGTTCGAAGGTGACGTGTTGTCGTCCAGCAGACGATATAAGAATTGGGCAGAACTGGGGAAACGTGTCAGAATTGTGGATTTTAGGACAGCTGAGAATCCTATGCGTTTCAAACTTTTGCTGATTTCCATAGCTTCTGAAGCTTTTAAAGCACCAATGAAGACGTCAGACATCGTCAGACCTTGTGAATTTTGCCGTCATAAAGACACGGCATATCCATTTCCATAGCCTCTCACGAACACCCATGCGCCATGGATGTTGGTGTTGCGGCCAGCGCTGTAGCAGCTGCGGGCTTGAAGCTCTTGAGCCACTAGCAGCAGGGTTTGGCTTGGGGAGACCGTTAGTTTCCTCGTTTCTTGCTATACATATACAATATATCTGTACGTATACATATGTATACTGTATATATATATATATATGTATGTGTGTGTGCATGTATATATCTATATACTGTATATATATAATACACATATACAAATTTATGTACATACATATTATATCTATATACATGTATATACACATGATATTTTAGTCACTTAATTCCTTCGTTTTTATAGGGTATCTCTGATCAGCCACCGGGGTCAACCAACATGGGGGATTCACCAACCAAAATCAGTGGTTTGGTTCGAGGAAACATCTACAGAAAGCCATAGGCCATAGCTATCTCCAGTAAAAAAAAAGGCGGTCTCTGGAGAGTTTTTCCATGTTTTTCCTTCATCCTTTTCATAGTTTGCTTGCAGAAGTGTCACTAGAGGTGATTTACCACGATGATGATCCATGATGTAAAGCTTCTCAGTATGAGATGACTGGGAACCATGGTGTGACACCTCTCCTTTCAGGACGGACCGAACAAAATGGTTCTTCCGCATCGTCCCGCGCCGTAGGTTACAACCGAAGCAACTTCTTCGAAAATCTGAAACTTCAGCAGAGCCGGAAGTTTCGGCGCCAGCAAATCATCGCGGCTCAGGCTGGCTCAGGTAACCTGATGTCGATTCCCCAACCATGTTATGGAGAGCCCAGGAAAAGCTCAAGATATAGACCATGAAGATCCATGAAGTGGATGAGTGTTGAGGTTTCAAATTGATCAACCTGTATTGCGGATGGTCATCAATCCATTTTCATCTGAATTTACCAAACATTAGGGATGACCATAATCTATATCCACCCAGGAGTACATATTTTATATCACCCAGGATAATATATTATATACACCCAGAATCTTCTAAGTCGCTGTAGGCAAACCTGTTTCGCTCTGATGTGCAGCAAGTCATTGGTGCGTCTGTCACCGTACAGGACGGGGCCTTTTTTCGGACTACCTCAAATTCTGGGATCCTGGCATACATGATGCCAGGATAGACTGATAGATTTATGTAGATTTTAGGCAATATTCTAGTGGAAACCAACTTGGATGGGGGGGTCTCTTGTCATTGTTTTTAATTTTTCTTTCTCAGGAAATTTAGGCCTGACTCTGTCGCCGGACCTGAAACCATCTGAAAACATCTCAAACCATCTCCAGTCAAAAGCGCAGGAGCGTTTGACGATTGTTTCAACGTTGATGTTAGTGGCTGCGACCTATTCCTTCGGTGTTGGTCTTCCGCGTGAAAGCGCGGATTTCCTGGAGGGCTTGGTCTACTTGACCCTCAGTGCCATGGCAGGAGATGGTTGATGGGTGGGGAAATCGCTGTCCATGTTGCACCAAGATTCAATGACTTTTCCCTGTTGAAATGGCAATTCCTGGGATAGTTATTATTATTATTATTACTTTTGGACATACCCACGTGAGACTTGTTTGTGGATTTAGTAGGATTTAGTCAACACGAATATGGTTATTACAAGCTGCAAGCAAGTTGGTTCGGATGTCTTGTGACCCAAGCTGATGTCCCGCGGACGGTTTTTTCCCCTGGCAGCCCTTTCAACATGATCCCCAAAATCATCAACTGAGATCTTTGTGGCAGGCGGAAGCTATCAATTTGCCTCATGAGCTTGGGCAATTTCATTCTGCAGCCAGCGATGTTTGATTCCAACAGGGTACACCCATTTGAATCTATTCAAATCTCAACATTTAACCGTCAAGTCATTTTGGTCCTCCAATCAACTCCAATCCCCTATCTTTCATGGTCAACTCCTGGTGTTTTTCAATGGTCAAACGGTCAAATCCGCATTGATTTTGCAATTGCTCGGGCTTGAAACGACGCTGGAGGCAACAGCTCCCTGTACTTTTTGCTGGCGCTCTTCTCGTGTATTTCTGCGAGCATCCTCGCGAGAACCTCACAGAAGGCGCGGTTTGACAGGGAAAAATGACGTGCAAAACATCTGGTTGGTGGTTTGGAACATTTTTTATTTTCCATAACATATGGGATAGTCCTTCCCATTGACCAATATTTTTCAAGATGGTTAAAACCACCAACCAGACATGGTTTTGAAGAGGCAACAAGCTTCAAACCAATAGCAATAAAATATAATAAAATATACTTTACGATATATTTGAAGATACTTTACACATCCTCACACTGGATTGAGATGATTGTGGCATTGTTGGTTCATGAAGCCTGCAACGGCGAAGATGAACAGTTCTTTGTCTTCATGGCTGATTGATTGCCTCAGGTGTACCAACTTTGAAGCATCAAGACCTCATTCGGACTTGTTGACCAGGTGCTACTCAACAATTGCGTCAGACCACCCTTCGAGGAGATGAGTCTTGGCGAATCAGGCCACAGATCGAAGCGGTTTCATTTGGGTATGGCTCACAGTTGATCCCCAAAGTTGAATGGTTACAGAAAGTCACATACCCTTTGGTAAACTAACATAACTATGGAAAATCACCATTTTTAATGGGAAAATCCACTATTTCTATGGCCATTTTCAATAGCTATGTTAAATTACCAGAGGGTACTACAAATGACATTTTTGCACAAATGTTGTGGATGTGGATCCATTGGTATCCCCTTGGCTCGAGCCAAAACCAGTGGTCCACGAGACCTTCGGGATATCCTTGGGGGCTCCAGCTGATGACCCACAGCCACGACGCTTGAGGATTGCTGCGGTGGATGAATCAGATACTTGGCTTAGTACCCTCCAGTGAACTAACATAGACCCTGGCAGACAGGGGTTGAAAGACTAGTTTCCACTCAAAATTGGCTGTTTTCAGGGTCTATGTTAATTTACCAGAGGGTAAGTATCTCAATTTATCATCCATTGTCCCTGAGACTCTCGGAGGTTTCCTAAAATGGGGGGGACCCTCAAATCATCCAAGTCATTGGACTGTATTGAAACCCATGGTCTTGATTGGTTTTGGGGATCCACCATTTTAAGAAAGTCCCATATGGGTGTACTGTACATGTAGTATATACCGAAGATTACCTTGACTTATTCACTATTCGGACTCCAGTGGCTGTTTCCAGCAAGGCGCTTGATCTTTCCATGGTTGAAATCACCAACCCTTCCTCGACACCCGAAATGAAGGGTTGTCATCAAGGAAAGGAAGATTGCCTGAGAATGGCTAATGGGCAACATACTGGTATCAAATTTGGGGTTGTCTGAACAAAGGTGAACACCAAAATTCCACTTGAAAAAGTAACAACTGAAACAAGGAAAGTGAGGATAAAACATGATAAAGCATCTTGATGGGGGTAGCTCTGGCCCTTCCCATTTTTGATGGTGAAATCTTCAGTTCTTGTGGGTGAAACCATGGGTCACCCTGGGTCTGCTTGAACCTCAGGAGAGCCAGGAGAGCGCCGAGCACTTTGAACGTCAAGGTGTCTCTGCTTTGCTCAGGCGCCCTGGGGCGAATGAATTTCTGGCCATAAATGAATAGAAATGTGAGAATTGGCTAGCCTTAAATCATTCTAAATCATGTTAAATCTAAAGATGATCAGTTCTTGATATTTTGCTCAGATTTGTTTTCGGTATAACTATCTCACTGGTGAAAAAACATAGTATATAAACATATATAAACTATATTAAACTATATACCCCAGCTTTAAATCATGCTTAAATCACTGGTTAACTTTTCATTCCACGGCTTTTTACACCCCAAAAATCACAGAAATCAGCAGCAAAATCAATGGTGGAATCACCGCAGGATCCCTGGCAGCCACTTCCTGGAGGAGCGCTTTGGCTCGGAGCTGCTGCGCCTGCGCGCCTGGCGGAGTGGCAAAGTGGATGCGGCCGAGGTCAGAAAAAGCAGGTCTGAGGTTTGGATACGTAGTGTTAAGTATGCTTCTATACTATAGTTACTATAAAAATATATACAGTATATATATATAAATATGGTGATATATGGTCTATACTACTATAAATATATGGTGATTTTTCGGCAGATACTGAGATTGGTCATACTGTACTGTCATACTATAGTATAGATATAGTGATATTTATAGTGATATACTGATATAGTTCAGATATAGTTCTCGACCAATATCACTTTTTCGCAGAAGATTTTCCAAGGTTTCTTTGAGGCTAGATCATGGTAGATCTGAGACTTCGGGGGGGATTTATTGTTCAATGCTTGCTGGGCAAAACATGTAGAGTGTACCACTCTACTATATTTAGGGGATTTTACAGTAGGGCTAAACGCATGGTTTCCTCCTGTTTTGTTTAGAATTTCCGTGAAACCAATCGATTCATCGTTGGTGGTTTTAAATGCCGTGGGTTCACCAACCAAAGATCTCAGAGTTTACTGCACTGTAGTTTCCTTAAATGATCATATTTACGATTTGGTTTGCTTTCTTTGTCCTTCAACAAGTGGGATGCAAATCCAAGTGTTGAGCTCGTATTGTTGGGAGATGTTGGGATGATCGGTGAATCGGGATGATTTTGATCTCCCAGTGAGACACCACCAAATGGGCCGCACTGGGTGGCTAATAACCGTTGAGTGTTGGCTAATAATCCAACAAGGGAAGCCTGGTGCTATTCCCCGCTTCTGACCCCAAAACATCATCAAACATAGGTTTTCTCAGATGCCAAGTTGGTTTTCTCATCTGTACCCAGGTTGATCACTGGCTCGTTTGCCAGGTCCCCCAGGTCTCCCTGGTTTTTCGCCCAGGAGGTGGGTTCCTTGTCACTGAATCGTCTTCTGTCCCGGCAGAGGTCCAACAATGAAGCGATGCCACTGGGCGGCCTTTGGAGATGGGGGTGTCAAACTTTTTTGGCCAGGGATAGCTGGGATAGCTGGGATAGGGAAAAAAACACATTGAACAAACACTACCCAGATCTAGCAGGAATGAAGAAGATCAAAGATAAGTCGAACGCACTATATAAATGTGATCTTTATAGATCTTTATGATCTTTCCTGAACACGTCCTTGGAACATGGCCCCGCCATTGGCACCTGGACGAGCTCAAGAACATTCAAGTATCCATCCATCCACCCATCCATCAATCATACAGTACATATATTATAAATAAATATATTATACATATTGATTAATTATCAAAAAATGTAAAAATAGAAATCAATAGAATGAATATTACACAACACCTGTTTATCCTTTGTTTAGGTTTAGTGGATAGGTCGAATATCGCACGAGACTCTCCGACCAGCCGCACCGGAGGAACCGGCTCCAGCTGCTTTGGGATGACCTGGCGACATACGCTCCGTACTATTTGCACCTTGGATCGGGAAGTGCTCACCATGGGGCTCTGAAAAAGGCTGAAAAACCATGGGGCTGAAAAAAACGCTAACAACCACAGGTTGGGACATACAGTAACATACAGTAACAAATATCACTATGGGTATGTATATATATATAATACATATATATGTATGTAATATAATATATCTAATAATATATATATATGTAATATAATATATAATATATATATATATGTAATATAATATATATAATAATATATATATGTAATATAATATATATAATAATATATATATATGTAATATAATATATATATATATATATATGTATCCACTTAAACGACTCTTAAGACTGGAACTGCATCCCCAAGTCATAGAACTAATAAAGCTGATCTGAAAACTGGTGTACTTTGAGATGAATCCCCAAGGACGTTTCCAGAGGAGGTGATGCCACCGATCATTGGGGGCTAATGGGGCTAGGAATGTATAACTGTGCATGCTGCTAGCATAAAAAGTGGGTCTTTGGGGGGTGCAACTCAGAGTTTTACTCAGAGTTGTTTAAGTGAAACTTGGTGAAACTTGGTGCAGTACGGGAGGGCCAACTTGTTTCAACAATTCCAAGTTGTTGTTTTTCCCCAATTGTGCTTCTACTAGATGATCCAGGCTTGCCCATGAAACCTGCCTCCACACTGGAAGGCGTCTTGAGTTTCCTGGCAAGTCCCCAGTAGCAAAAATGGTTGCCAAGTCCGAGCCCAAAATGGTCTCCTTTTGGACCAGATCATCAGTAGCAACCAGACAAATACTGTAGCAGTAGAAAGCCGATCTTAAAACAATCCACTGGTATCGAAACTGGAATCATTTGGGTTTGTATGAAATCGGGATAAATCGGGGACGGGGACCACAAAATTCGATGGTAAATCATTTTCCCATATGGCAGTGTGTCAAAACCTTGTACCCCTTTTTTGTTCACATCAAAATAGCTGGTAAATGGATATTCATCCCCCTAAAAATGGTATTAATAGGTATTGATCCATACCCATATTTTCCCCATGAAAATGGTCAGAGAAAGCCATAACCTGCTCGGCTCGAGGAGCTGGGGCGTTCGAAACTTGCTGTTGGCTTACGCGCGACTTGATCCTGGATTTCAAGTACCGGGGGGTCCTAGGGGCTTCCGAGGTGGTTGTAATAAGCCATCTAACATCATCTATATGGTGGTTTCCTAGGGGCCTAGGGGTACCCCCCAATCATCCACTTTGATAGGATTTTCCGTTAACAACCATCCATTTTTAGGTACCCCCATTATAGGTGTGGCTACATGATGATAAACGTGATATTGTAGACAACTAAAATAAAATCACAGTTTACATCTTAATATAATATCATCGAATTTTAAATGGCCGTTATTGGTTTTTCTCCTTGAGAGTCTCTGTCTGAGATGTCTCTGTCTAAGATTTTGGCTTGGCGCCTGTGCTGAGGTTCAGATCAATGGGGCATCTCGGATGGAATCGGGTGCTTTTTGTTGTACCCCCAATAATCCCCGAAATCCCCCGTCCATATTAAAGATCCCCAAAGAAAAGCATGGTTTTTCGTATGTTTTTTTCTAGGGAATTTCCACATCATTGGGACCATAGAAACTTGGGATGTTTCATATGAACCAGGGATGGGATCCGCTCGTGCCCTTTGAAAAGGGAACATGATGATTATCCAATGGATACAGAAACACATTTGGTTGATAAACTTGGCGTCACATCCCCTATGAAAGTGGGTGATCCAGGTGTCCTAAACCCCAAATGGATCCTAATTGCAGATTTGGGATTTTGTTGATGATTGACTACAATTGCAGAGTGCAGTGATCAATACTTGATAATTCCCAAATTGATCCCAAATCAAGTTATTATCCCTGATCAGGCTGCTGATGGGCGATTTCAGCGAAAACGGGGCATTTACATGTGGATTGTCTCCATAGGACAGATGCATGGATCGCTTGTGCTGTTGTACAATCGCCTGCCCCAAGCCACAAATGTATACACATGTTCCAAACATAATCCGATCCACCACATTCCACAAAGGTTTCTGGGGAAGAATGTATTGTTGCGGGGCAGGAATGAGCTATTTGGTTGGAACATGTTGGAACCCAAGTGATTCCTCTTTTTGGGGGATGGCTTGAGCCAATAAGATGAATGGTGAACCACCAACAATATGCTCCGAACAAATCAGTTGTCTTTTCTCAGCGTTTGGGCGATGAAAAGTGGTGTGTTTTCAATGTTTCACACCAAGGTTTTACTACCACAGCCGGGACTTTGACGTGTTTCTGCAAACCTCGCTTTGGATCATCGTGGTTCCTTGGGGCGGTGGATATGGTAGGTTGGTTGATAACCCTAGCTTTTCCCGACTCAGTTGATGTCAGCATGATGTTCTTTTACAACCACCCAATAGATTGGGAAGAGCTCTCCAGGATATGAGAAATAGATAGAAATAGATATTTTTTCCGCTAACTTCCAGGTCTTCAGCTTTTATATTCCCGTTGCTTGCGATGTGCTGGATGGTCCTCACTGGGATGAGCATGACACCATATCACACCCATATCTGCAGACGCTGGCGCTGGGGGTGCTGACGAACATGGTGATGCCAAGCAGTTGTGTGCAGAGTTTCATCGAACATGGCTTGCTGCTGGGCTGATGGAAATCGGGTCGTTGGAGCGTTAGAGGCCCTATATCTGAGTGTATATAATCGTGTTTAATGACGTTTTATGTATGATGTTGTATGTATATTATATATTTAATTATATTTTAAATGTTCAACTTACAATCTGGCTTTAGAGAAAATGGAACATGAACAGTATGTATACACAGATAGGACCTTCAAGTTCTTGTAGTGTTTGGATATTCGATCCAAATGCGGCAATTGGTTTGGGTTGGTGTAGCAGGGTGATCATCCAATGCGATCCAATATGGACAAAGACATGAACCCAGTCGTCACAGCATTGTTGCTAGTCACTTGACCATGTCCGTTTTTTTTTATCCCAACGATTTGTGTTTTTTCTTGTCCCTCCCATGGAGAGAGCTGTGCAAACCAACGCTGGTTGCGACTGTTTTCCCGGCGATATTTTACTTGTTTCTAGAGAATTTTTGACCATATTTCATCATATATTTCTGGTTCACGCCTGAATCGGACACCACTTGCCATTTTCGCAGGTTGACTGCGCAATTGGTTCAACTCCGACGCTTTTCTTGTGTGAGTTATGTATTTCGTTAGATATCCAAGGTCGATTTTGATCAATTCAGGGATCAATTTTGATCTGAAGCCTGGTTTCATTGTTGCCACAAGGTGGAGAGCAGACAACTCACACTTAAAAAAACAAGCAAACCCGAAGCCATTTTACTTCTTTAATTTCCCACTGTAAAACCCAATTTACTTCTTCATTTTCCAATTTTTTGCCCTACTCTTAGGGTGTTTTTTGTTCCCAAGCAGGATCTTGGCGGGGATTGGCGCGAGCATCGTGGATGCCACCAGCAGCACTTTCACAGAAAAGCTCTGGTGGAAGCGAGAGGCGTGGCCGCGTGGCCATGACATGATCACTGCAACAAGAAGCCCAGCTGTATGTATCATATATATATATATACATTGGAGTGACCCCCCCACTAACAGTGGAATAATGGATTTTAATTGTAGTGTAAGTGTATACATATTATACACATATTATATGATATATGTATATATATATATGGTTAATTATATATAATATATATATATACAACTATATATATATGGATGATTATATATATATGGTTTATATATGGTTAATGATTGTTGATAATGGTTATAATTATATCTATGTAATTTCTAGTGACCTTACTGTTATCTCACTGGAATCATGGTTAGATTGCGGGGAATCATCCCCACATGACCCAACATTTCAGGTTAGTGGGCCGTTAGGGTTTACACAGATGAGTCTCTCTGAAAATGGGGTATACCGCGGTATACCCCACATGGCTAGTTTTTTTGGGGAAAATGATGATGATCATATCGGAATATATATATATACATATGTATATAGTGAGTATACAGCAGCCGACAGAATTATGGAAAAAAAATAAAAGGCCAAGAAATGACAGGCGACCTCCTGTCTATCACGGGAAAAACTCTGTAGCATTTGATTGTTGTTCCATAATTCCTTTCTTTCACAACCATTTTTTATCCAAAATTCTGTCAGCTTGAACACGTCAAGTGATTTGCAGTTTTAACATGTTTTAATGCATTCTGTGAAATCCAATGATGCAACATATGGAGGTTTCCAAAAATTGGGGTACCCCTAAATCATCCAATTTTAATGGGATTTTCCCTTATAGACCATCCATTTTGGGGATCCCCCATTTATGGACACCCCCATATGATGCCACAGTGGCGCTAGCCGCTAGCGCTAACAGGGGCTGAACCACGAAGTCTCATCGATCACTGCTGCCTTCGTGTGTCAGCTCGGCTTGTTGGTGGCTTGGTGGATGCGACTTCTGGTTGCTTTTTTGAGGTTATAACAGTATTATAACATGTGATAAATGGATATAAATGGATATAAATGGATATAAATGGATATAAATTGATATAAATGGATATAAATTGATATAAATGGATATAACAACAGCACGACCTCCATGAGTTGGGAGATACCCCGTACAACATCCTACTCTAACTATGTCTATTTTGGTCCACTTTCATCATCGGGAGCCGCGGAAGCGTTACGTCATTTGGGTGTGTCTGAAAATAGGCACACCAGAAATTATGGCAATTTGATTAATTATATAATTTAACAGGGAAACGCATGATTCACCATTGGGTTTAGGGGTACACATTGGGCCATTGTCCTCAGCCCCGCCAGGACAACCTCGTCTCAGGAAGTTCGGGGTATATAATTCATATTTATACATGTCGTATATATATATATATATATATTATATATATATATGTATATGTAATTTTGATGCATTTGCTGGTTTATAATCGACATCATCTGGTGTTTGAATCTTCGCCTCAATTTGCTGATCCTTAGCCGTGTCTACGGCTGTAGGTGTCTGCACATGTGCGCTTCTACATCAATACCAAAGGTGGCCCCATGCTGCAGTGACTCGGCAACAACGACGCCGGGCTTGGCCCCAGCAAACAGACCCATTGAAAAGCGCCTCCTGCGATGTTCCTGTTAGTTACACCTTTCACCAGCTCTTTCTGAGGACTTTCCGAGAAATTGGAAGCAACATCAGTTTTCGCCAAGATTTGCATTATCATCAGGATTTGTCTTCAGGCACCAAAGATGCAGGGGGTGGCTGGCGCAGGGAAAAAAAGGATCTAAGGAGGTGTCTTTGGTTTGTCGGGTGCTATTGTTTGGCCCCTCATGTTCTCTTTGAACTAAGTAATGTCAACCCCGGATTAATAAACCATGGTTAATTAATTCGGGGGGGATTCCCCCAATAGTCATGATTTGATACTTAAATGGTACCTTCCCAACTAAACAGCCTAGAGGTTTATTAATCCAGGGTTGACATTACTTAGTATTTTGGCACGAACCTCATGATAGGGTGATTATTGAGCTCCAGTTGGCAATGGGGGGAAGCCTGCTGGGAATAGCCGGGAACATCCGAGATTGGGACAGATGACCAGTTGTTGAAAATTCAAGAGTCAACAAACTATTTGTTCTGTTTGTTTCAGCACCTTGAAACGTCAACTTTTTGATGAAATTGCCATACAATCTACTGGAGTATTTTCACCAAGGGCTCCAGTCCATTGCCCGCCCGGCCAGGAGCCGACTCAGATTCCGAAACATCGGAGTGTGAAATTTCCGACTTCCTCCAGGACAATGCATCCGCGGGCAGATGAAATGCCAGCAATGTGGTGTTTACCCAATGGTAAACCTACCATTTGGATCCATTGAGGGATGTTTTTTTGAACCACCAATATATCGTCATAGTCGGGATGGTTACAAGACCCTCTGGTAAAGTAACATAACTATGGAACATCACCATGTTCAATTGGTAAATCCACTATAAATCACCATGTTCAATAGCTATGTTAAATTACCAGAGGATAACTTGTTTGACACATTAGATGTGTCATTTGCAATAAATATTGTGCGGTCTTTGGGTCGCTCAACATCAGCCAATATCAGGACGGTTAAAAAAGCGTGATTTTGTGCAAAGGATATCTGGTGGCCTTGGTTTGAGCTACAGTGGTGGTATTTTATGTTTTGTATGATTTTATATTTTATGACATATTTAAGGTTTTTGACTGTTGTAATATTCATTCATTTTTATATAATCTCCAAACTTGTTCTGGAAACAACATGCGTGGTGAACAAGATTGTGGGGTTCCATCCTCTTACCTGTTGCACCAACAATCAGCAGTTGTTGGTGTGAACAAGACTTAGAAATCAATAGTGGTTATTTCACCATGGTTGCTATCATTAGTAAAACAATAATAAACCACCCATATTTTGATGGTTTTTTGGTAGCTATTCATCGTAAATTTGGGGATGGCTTTACTGACATAATCCCATCCTCCTAATGTTGGCCCCCATGGTGGACCATGGTGGATGCAGGGAATTTCCACATCAGGACCATAGAATGGGGGTGTCTAATATTTGGATGGGATTATCAATGATTGGATTACTGTAATATAACATATTAATGAATGTTCAATCCTCCTATATTTACTGTATCAATGGACATTTTTTTACCCAAGCAGTCCACTGCTATCCAAGTGCCCCATGTTTGACCGCTCTAGGGCCACATCAAGCGCCAGTCCAGACTCCGGGATGGTGTGAGAACCACGTCCCTGGGTCAAGTCATTGGGCACCCCAAGAATTAGATGGTGAATGTCCCATTAATGATCATTATTATTGGAACATACCACATTAATGATCATTCATCTGGATAAATGGGGATCTAATGGGATATGAATGGGGATAAATTCTATTACCCTCTGGTTATGACTGACATAGCCATCTATTTGTACGGGCCATGGCTTCCATGGCTATGTTAAAGAACCAGAGGGTAACAATAAGCCAAAATTAAAGTCAATATTAACCATACCCAAATGATGAATCATGGTGGATAGCAACACAAAATGCAAAAACCAATACGTTTCCTGCCAATTTTGAACGATTTGGAGGCTGAAATGGGTAGTGTTTGGCAATCCAACATGGCCATGGAAAGTGGCCCGTTGTTAGATGATGTACCGAAAAAAAAGATGGGGGGTTTCCCAGGTTTTCCCAGGTTTTCCATAGATGGTGGATAGCCAGAGAGTAGAACGACGTTGTTTTTGGAGGTGAAACCACCTGGAACTGTTGGTGACTGGTGGTGAGCCGGTCACTGGTCATCTTTGAAGTGAACATGGTGATACCCCAAGTTATGTCTATTTTAGTTTTTAGTACTTGGATTATGGGGTACTGAAAATTATGATAAAGCCTTGGATTTTGGGGCACTCGATTTTCAGACAAACCCATTTACCGGTTTGACACATGATTTTTCAGATGGCAAACTGTGAATCTACCGCCCAGCTCTTCAGGGTGTTGCCCTAGGCTGTGTAGTCCCAGCTCGATCGCTAAGTTGATTTTGAACTCTAATTTCACTAGGACTTATGGATACTTACGGTAGATATATCATGATAAACTCTAACTTCACTAAGGACTTATTGTAGATATATTATCGAACTAGTTTTCATGGGGCGGTTTTTGATACCCAACCCGACTGGGTGTCTTGTCATCTTGTCCCATTCAAAGGTGCCTCATTGCAAATATCGCTATGATCCTCATTTGGCCACTGGGCGGAGGGTGCCAACGTTGTTCGCATTGGAAGGTGATCCTATAAATAATGTGGTAAATAGATTACATAATGGTGGTATAATGATGTGGTGATCACCTTCCAATAGGTTTGTCTTCCATAAATGATGTGGTTTACAATAGGATCTACAGTAGGCTGGGGATGGTTGAAATACCATAGAGAGGTGGTGATTCTTTGGGGGATGGTTTATGACATTGGTGAATCCCACATTGGCAACCCCTAAACAGATTTTAAAAAAGTGTACCACTGTAGATAGCACTTGTCGGGCTGGTAGATACCTGGGTATGTTTTGACGGCTCATGAGTTGAAAATGCTGGGCGTTTAGGACGTGTTCATATTTGCTCATGTTTTCGGCGGATGACGAAGTAACTTGTTTCAGAGTCAAGTGTCATTCAACTGTCATCATAGGCGAAACATACTTGGAACACCAGAATGAACAGAATGATCCAGAATTTGAGAGGGAGCCAAAGCTCCTCCCCACAAGATGGCAATGGGGCAGATGCAGCACATACAAATTAGCAATGATACCGCCCGTGCACAAGAGTGGAAAGGAAGCAGTACAGTTTTTGAATGTTTTGGATGTTGTGTGCAGTTTTTTTTGGACATTTTCCCAAACTGGACACGTCGCTGTAAGAATAGGGAATCCACAATGACTGGTCAAGTACCCAGTACGAACCCTTGGTTTGCGAATAGGACCCAGGAACAGATGTATCGAGTTGAATGACAACGGATCTTATTGCTGCACCCTCTTCCCACCCCAAAACCATCAAATTCTTTTAGGGTATCTACCAGCCCTTAGATCCTTTAGATCCTTTTAGTAGCACTTTGCCTTTCTATCTTTTTGGGTGTTGCTATCATTTTCATATATTTTCATAATATTCTTGAGATGTGTGCTACTTTTTTGATGATTGCCACCCCAACAGCCCATCCAGGCTCGCTGTGTGCTGTGGTGAGGCCGAAATCTGGCGCAGCCTGACAGCAAAGCAGCCTTGAAGGAAGTAGATGGGGTAGTGATCTCCCAAATAAATCGCATTAAACCGCCCTTGAATTGGATTGGATGATTTTTGGAGATGGAGACCCCGGTATTTTTTGGATTCTGTTCCAAGATGATGTTCCGCACTCTCTAGCGGCTCTCTGTGATTAAGTTATGCATATTTCTGCGTTGACTGATTGCGGCAGCAACCCAAAACAGGATTGAAGCAATCTGTGGTTCAAACAGTCTTGCAGAAGTGGGCTCTCGACAAACATCATGACAGGTCTAGCAAAGATGAGCTCCCAAGTTGTGTTCTGTTGCCTTGCAGTATCATTGTACATGTATATAATAGGTAACCTCGGCGAAACTACACGCGCCAACAAGAATCATGTGTCATTGTTGTTTGTGATCTGTGCTTATGAGTTACTGTCCTTGCAACCATTGACCAGCACCAGCCTTAAATGGCACATTCTTTTTCCAGTCAGAGCATGATAAGGAATTCGGAACCAAACGACAGGTAGTTTTAACCTGTGGATGGAACTATCCCTGCAGATTCCCAGAGAACCTCACATGGAAGAGGGAAAGCAAAGCAAAGAACAGTGGGGAACAACACATTTCAAGACTGGACGCGTGTTTTTGATTGATTGAAGGAAACAATCCTTGGAGGCCGTGTTTCTTTTGCATCATATGGAGGGTTTTCCTGTCATGTTTCCCTTTTAAAACCATTTGCACATCGCCTATGCTCCATGCATGGAATGTTTTCTGAGATACATGATAATTACATGTGTTTTTTTTTTTTAAAAAAAAATCTTTTTTGGGGTAAGTATGTTGAATACCCTAAAATATAAAGGTACAGAAAGAACGGGTCAAAGTACTACACACTGAAGAAGGGCTTTTATGGGGTCTACGTACTCAATGAAAACAAAAACACCCCAAAAACGACCCGTGCACGTGGAGGTATCTCAAAATTTTGAACCTAATCCCATCCCATTCATTGTCGTCGGATGATCACAGTTGTTGTCGGAAAATGGGGAACAAATACATATATATATATATATTATATATATATATGCCCCATTGCCCTAAAATGGCATCAAACTGCCCTTCAATGGGGAAACATATTTTCTCAGCTATCCCACTATATCAATATCCCCATTATATAAATCTCATTAATTGCTGTATTTATATATGTTTGCACCAGTCCCATAGTATCCAAGTATTAATATATATATATATCCCATGAAATTCCATATTAGATCCCATATTAAATTCCATATTGAATATTAAATCCCATTTTATGCATCTTCGAAAATAGACATTTATTTTTCAAAAACTGCATTTTTCACCATCATTTCCCAGCGGTTTTCAGGAAAACGTTGCGCCATCGCCATCCAGGTCAACTGCCTCGCGCCGTGAAGGTGACTGAGGAGATCCTGGATGATGTACCGATCGCCTTCGGTGCCTAGTTTTAACGAAGGTTTTGATGAGAAAACATGGGAAATTCATGGGGGAAACATGGACACAACATGGGAAAAAACATGGGTAAAAACATGGGAAAATCGTTGAAACATGATTCAAATGATGGGAACATGGGTTGTAGCATCGAATGATGGTTGCCATTGTTGATATTGTTGAAATCCCAGAGGCAACTCTTAACAAAAACACTCAAGTCCTGAAATGTAGCAATTGTTTCTTGTTTGTTTTAACACGTAATGGACATATACAGTACATGATTGTTGGTTCTGAGGATATAGCAGAGGTTTGACATCAATGACCAGTAGAAAAGTTATGCATTGAAGTTGAAGCTTCAGTAGACGCGGTTCTATCCCAGAAATTCTTCCGGAAAAATCTTCACATCCAATATCGAAATCGATGTTTCATCATATTTGGCGGTGAAATTTGAGGGTTACACATATTTACAATGCATTATTTCCCCGTGAGATTTCCCTGAAACCAACCCCGTGAATGTAGATAAAAGGTCATCAATCATGGTATTCTGGAAAGTCCTCCATAGTACAATCATTTTTCCATTAAAAACATCACTTTATTCCCATTTAGTTCGACGATGTTCCTATCAAAACCTGCATGTATAGAGATGTTTTCGCAATTTTCCGCATATTTTTCGATGATTCTCCAATGTGTTTCCCATCTCTTGCCATGATGTTCCTTGAGGTTTTTCCCATATTTTCCAGTGATGTTCCCATGTTTTTCCCATCAAAAACTCCATTTTTTGACACCAGGCCCTAACATCACGGACGCTGACGTCACGGACGCTGACGTCAGCCTCACCTTGGCGCCGAAGCGGCTGTTGAGGGAAGGCCGGGAAGGCCTTCCCAGGGGGGATTGACCTATGAACAATGGTGACTTCGCCAAGAATATGTTTGGTGATTTTATGGAATATGTTTGGGATATATGAATGAAAACTATTGAAAACTATGAAATGGAAGATTTTAATAATGGGATCTAGGGACAACTGTTCACTTTCAAATCATGGGAATATCATGATCATGGGTTTTTAGCGTAACATTAGTTGGAGAATGTTGGAGATATATTGGGGATGAGGGGGATTTCATGGGATGTTAATGGGATACAATGGAAATTCATGGGATTCTTGGGGATTTAACAATTGAACATTGAATATTGATGGGTTACAGTGGGGATTTAATGGAATATTCATGGGGGTACAGTATCTATATATGTATACATAATGGGATACACAACCATATATATCCCATTTGCGTGTGTAAAAATGGTGCATTAAACCTCAATAGATGGCCATGTTTGCTGGTACAACCCATTTTCAGACGAAGCCATCTACTATGGCCGCACTAGGGATTCCGATTGACAAGATATTCAAGTCATGATGATAGGCTTTCCCAAAGCTTCTGGATAGAAACATACTGTATATAAACTGATTCTGCGCTAGATTTTGCTCATGATTTCCTTTACCTATTTTGTGGAAGCAGCAGTAAACGATGGTAGCTTTCTTTTGGGCACTTGTCCTCTTGGCATGTCGCTCAGCAGCTCACACTCCAAGGTGTGAGTAGTGGTGATTGTCATGGAATATTTGATTTCCTTCGAATTAGATATAGGATGTTTTTCGATTTCTATTCGCATCTATCGGCGACATGATATCTGCAGCGTGGATTGTGCACTTCAGTGTTGCTCATGCCCCTTGAGATTCCAAGTCTTATCGCTGTCTCAATCAAATTGATCGGCCTTTAATCTTTGCAGTTTGTCCCTTTATGGTCGGCTCTTGATCAATCAATAGGGTTTCCAGAGAGTAGTTTTCCCAGAATTGGTTTAAGTTTTAACGAAAAAATGCAAGAACTTCGGCTGTATCCAGCCAACAAAGGAAACCTCTAACTCTAACCATCTAAACAAGGGGTTTCTTGGAGATATGGTTTTGTCTGGAAATGGATTATAGCTGAGCATTGCCATCAAACAACGCGGAACATCATTTTCCACATTTGTGTTTTTCTTCAAAGTGTTGGCAATCATGTTCCACATTCTGTAAAACCGCAGACCTTGGTGGTATATACCACTTGTTGATACTTGTTGGACAAAGCCATGTCAAATTTCTTTGAATAAATACATCCACACACTTTCTCGAGTCTGGGAGGATCATCCCCATTTCCTTGGCTTATCCTGCTCAAATCCCAAGTTTGGCCGTCAAAATCCCATTTTCGGTGTCCCAGTTGTAGCTCAGACTGACCCCAGTTGTCAAGTTGGTTGGACAATCTGTGCAAGTAGTGGGGACCCCTTGTACCCCCTCAAAACGCAGAATCGAGGGACATGTCGCAGATTTTACAGCCTTTCCTTCCATATTTGGCTGATGATTTCCAGTATATTGGCCCTTAAACCCAGAGAATCTCATGTTTTTGTTAGCTTTATGTTCAAATTATCAAGAATGAACATAACAGTTGATGTTTTACCTCCATATTTGGGTGAAAAACCTGGGTTTCCCAGCAAACTTTCTCCGCTTTTGACGACTTGCCAGGTTCGGCACGGCCTCTCTCCGATGCGCCTGTCCTGGTGGACCTGACATCTCCACATGGGCGCGTAGTGAGCAGATATCCAGGCGCCCAAAGATGGGAAAAATCGAGAAACTTTGTCTCATTCAAAAACAATTACCATCAATGATAGTAACAAAATTGTGGAAAACGTCAACATTCAAAAACTTTGTCTCCTGCTCGTCAACATTCAAAAACTCTCTCTATCTTTCCCTATTTGTCTGCCATTGTCTGCCTGTCTCTTTGTCAATCCATTTCTCTGATGATCTATCTCCTTCTCTGTCTATCTATGTCTCTGTCTTATTCTCTTTTTTCTCTTTTTTTTTTCTCTCTCTCTCTCTCTCTCGACCTATCTATCTGGCTGTCTGTCTATACACCTATCCCTCGATGAATGTGTATATGTATATATATATATTTCTATCTATTCATCCATCTGTCTGTCTATCCATCTACCTACCTAGCTATCTATCTACCTACCTATCTATCTATCTATCTAGCTATCTATCTATCAAGCTATCTATCAACATCTATCTATCAACATCTATCAACAGCTATCTATCAACATCTATCTATCAACATATATCTATCAACATCTATCTATCAACATCTATCTATCAACATCTATCTATCAACATCTATCTATCAACATCTATCAACATCTATCAGCACCTATCAACATCTTTTTACATCTATCTACATCTATCTACATATATCTAGATCTATCTATATACATCTATCTATATACATCTATCTACATCTATCGATATCTATCTATATCTATATCTATTTCTATATCTATTTCTATATCGATTTCTATCAATATCTATATCTATATCTATATCTCTATCTATCTCTATCTATCTACATCTATCTAAATCTATCAACATCTATCAACATCTATCAACATCTATCAACATCTATCAACATCTATCAACATCTATCAATATCTATCAACATCTATCAACATCTATCAACATCTATCGACATCTATCGACATCTATCTACATCTATCAATCCATCAATCCATCAATCCATCAATCTATCTATCTATCTATAGAGGAAGGCACATCCAAGTTGCAACTTCGGTTGAGACAAGCTCTGCCGCTTCCAGGTAGCATCACCATCAGGGAGGTCTTGGAATCTCAAGGCGTGGAGGGGGCGCAGAAAAGATTCAGAGACCCCAGTTGATAGGACAGCAAATTGAGGATTGTGGGTTTTTCCAGACTTCGTACAGTAACGGTATTGTATTATACGCTTGTACTCTTTTTATATAGATAAACAAATATAATGCGAATGGAGTGTAGGCTACGGATCACTGCACACTCCCATATAATTCAACTCTTAATTGTCCACCGCCAAGGGGTGCATCAATTTGCTCCTTTGGCTCAAGATTACTGCAGGTGCCAAGAGAAAAACGCCGCCATGCTGAAACTGCAATTCCCGTGTCGTCGTTGTTGAGAACATCAACCTCAAGATCAAACAACAGCACATAATCGGGGAGATAACCTCCGATTCACAGGTTATCAGCCGTAGGACTCCTACGGAGCCTACGAGCGGGTAGCCGCGGGCCTTACAGATGACTGAACAGGATAGCAGCGATAACGCATTTTCTTTCTCTGGACATGCCGTCGCACCAGCTGCCGGCACGCAGTCAAATTCTTCACAGAGTATCGACACTGGTGGAAGCGATGCCTCAGAATTGAGAACAAGCCTACCCAGGCGACCTCTGGTTGCTCCTAGAGGGAGACAAATTTCGACAATGCAAGCCATTGAAGATAGGGACAGCACACCTGGAAAGAGAAGATCATCTGCACGACAATTGTCGCCTCCGATGACTCCAAGGACTAAGGCAAAGACTACGTCGTCGAATCCGCCTTCACCGATTCAGGACGCTACTCCATCAGGGACAGGATCTTATCAGCAAGTGAACGCCCCGTCAAGTGGTAGCGACATCTTCACTGCCTATCAGAGTGAACTAGCTGAATACAAGACATCACTGGAAAAGGCCACTGAAGAAGAATCCGTACTTCAGGCAAGATTGACCGAGACAACAGCATATGCCTATCAACAATTTAATTTCTTGGAAAGCACCACTCATCAAGAGATGATGTCGATGACCGAACAACTCCAGATGCTGAACTTCGAGTTACAGGCTGCACAGCAAGAAGATGAAGGTGCGACCTACAGGATCGAAGAGTTGGAAAGGTATCAGACTATGTCGAATGAAGCTGCATCTCATTTGGAATTCAAATATTCACGACTACGTTCGGAATTCGATGAACAAATGGGACAAGCAAACGCAATTATGGTACATGTGGGAACTGACGCGAATGCTCACATCAATCAACTCAGACACGAACTGGAAAACGCAGAGATGAATGCCAAGCAAGAAGCTCTAGCAGTCGGCTATGCTAATGACCAAACATGTGCTTTGCAGATCGAGATGCTCGAGGTCGCCAATCAGAACCAGACGATGAAGCACACCATGGCCATGAATGTCAGGCGACTGGAAACTGAGTTAGATGCTGCTGACATGAAGAGGGACGAGATCATGAAGGAGTTCCGTAGTAACATAAGATCTGAACATGACCGTTATGCAGAATGTGAACATCACTTAGCTTTGGAAGAATCACAGCTTCGATTACAGGTGATCCACAGTGAGAACTTACAATCTCGACTAGCGATTTCTGAGAACAGGGTTTCTGAAGAATCTCTAGCTGAATCAGGTGGCATGCGGGACATGAGGATAATGGGACTACGTTCTGAACTACACATGAAACAAAGTCTTTTAGATCGAATGCAACAGCAACTGACTGAATCGAAGAACCAGTATCATGAACTTTCCTGTCAACAAGCCAGAAGATCTTCACCAAGCAGATCACCGCATGGAGGACCTCTATACGAGATGTACATGCAAGCCGTGCGTGAACGTGACAGCTTGAAAGAATCCAAGGCCGAAGTTGACAAGTTGTACTTGCAGAATAGATCTGAACTCATTGACACTGAGGACCTGCTCAAAGTCTTCCAGCGAAACTTTGATGAAACTGGTAAGAAATATCAAGATGCTCTGAACAAGATCGATCACATGAGCAACAATCCGAATGTGACGAGTACCTTGTTTGACAGTTTGCACAATGAACTCAATGACAGGGATACAGCTATTGCTCGCCTTCATACTGAACTTGAAGCCCAAAAGGACTCTCTTGAGCGTGCTCACAGGGATGCAGGTAAGTCCATCAAGATGTTGAACGACAGAAGACTCGTGATCAAAGGTGCGACTGACTATTCCATTCCTGAAAGCCATTTGACCGAGATGCATCAATTGGCCAATGAGCGTTACGCTGAGGTAGAAGAGATGTCGAGCACCATTGCTGCCCTGAAGTTGGAAAACCAAGCTCATTCTTCTTCATCAATGAATAGACCGACTACATTACATGGGTACCCCAGTAATGCCATGCCTCGGAATGAATGTGAAGAGAAGTGTGCCAAACTGAAAGCAGAGTTGGACGAGATGAAGCAAGAGAGGAACGCTGAAGTTCGAAATCTTCAAGATGAGTTGAAGAAGATGGAAGATCGTAAAGATTACTATAAGAACAATTTCTCTCAAGCTGAAGATCGTGCCAATGATGAAGAGCAGGAATACCGAGCAGAAGCTGAAGCCTTCGAGAAGCTCAGGAACGAGTACAACACAAATGTCAAGGAGTTGGAGAACCTTGAAAGGGATAGATCCAAGTCATCTGTATCTCTAAGAGAAGCCGAAAAGATCAGCCTCCAACCCTGGCCTAAGACCACTGAACTTTCATCCTGGAAGGGAAGTGTCGTTCATGAAGTTTGCGTTGCAAGTGGAGATCGAAACTATGAAGATTGGAAGGCGTGGTTAGCTCCGTGTCTTGCAGATCAACCTGACTTGGAGGCGCTGGCCAAAGCTCCTGATGTGAGATTCCAATCCATTGATGCCAAGCTCTCCAATGCCTTGAGGAAAGTCATTGACAATGCTGGGGACAAGTCCATGCAAGTGAAGTATGACATGTCCATGAAGAACCAATTGTATGGGAGAAGTGGGGACTTCATCAAGGGACGAGAACTATTTGCAATGATATTGATTAGCTTCAAGTCACCTGACCACACTGAAGTTCTCTACAATGCCCATCATTTGTATATGTTCAACTACTATGGAGATGACCAACTTGAGGCCTTCTACAACAAGTGGCTTGACATCGTATACAATATGAAACATGATGATCTGCCTTCCAACAATTCCCTGCGTGACACATTGTTCCGGAAGATTGAACATTCAAAGCTTATGGCCTTCGATATCAACCGATACAAAACCTTTGATGAAGGGCATCCTGAGAAGACCTATGCTTACCTAACTGGTATGATCAAGGGATACATAGCACGAGGGAAGCAAGAACGACTGTTGAAAGATAGAGAACGTGCAGTGAAACTGTCATTGTCCTCTAACAAGACGACACCTGCCTTAGAAGATGCAGACAAGCCTGCCGCTCCCGTCAAGACCAAGAAGGAGAATGAAGCGGCTGCATCGTCTACAGGTGATCCTCCCAAACGTCCTAAGGCGAAAGCGAAGAGTGAAGCTGCATCGGTACTTCCTACACCTTCTCCGAAGTCCCATGCTGACAAGAACAACAAGAAAGGCAAAGGTGGGAAGGGAAGATCATCTTCACCCGTTGACAAGAAGAAGATTTTCTGTAACTACTTCTTCAATAAAGGAGGATGCAACAAAGGTGACAAATGTCTTTACAGTCATTCTCAGAAGGTCTATGATGCCAAGATGAAAGGTAAGAAAGGCAGAAGCGGAAGTCGAGATTCATCAAGAGGGAAAGGTAGAGGAAGTTCATCTTCAGCTGGACCCAAAAAGAAGGTATGTTGGAATTGGCAAGAAGGTACCTGCAAGTTCGGAAACAAATGTAAATTCCTACATGCAGATAAATCGCCTTCAGCATCCTCAGAGAGAACCAGCAAGAAGACACCAAAGAAGAAGGCGACTCCCATTACCATTGATTCCTTCTTTGATAGCGACAATGAAGATTCCATGGATTATACCTCACCGAGGATAGCCAGTGCAAAGAAGTCTTCTGATGATCGCAGGATCTCATTTGATCTGGAACCTGAGGTGCACGAGATCGCCATTGAGGACTACCAGGAGGGACTACCCAAACGTATGTATCGTGACCCCAACAAGCAATATGTTTTCTGGAAAGTCGATGATTTGACCGACGATCAGTCCAAGTCCGACAACACCCTCGGTTCAGTCCGAGCACGGGCCAAGGCTATCATCATGGACAGATGTGGACTCCATCGTTTTGTTGATGAAGTTAGAATCATTATTGGCCCCAAGTTCGACATGTTGATCAAACTGGACAATGATCGTGATGACTTGACTTTTATTGAAGAGCTTGTTGAACACGAAGTTGGAAACTCCCTCATGAAGTCCAAGAACATAATGTGCATTTCACTACCAGTGCAAGCCAAAGATCGTAGATTCATCCTGGATTCTGGCAGCGGGCATGATCTGATTTCTGCAAGGAAAGCCGAAAGGATGAACTTGAAGCAGCGAACTTGTGATCCTATCATGTTCCACACAGCCAACGGTTCAACTGCTACTCAGACAGAAGCAGAGATTGACCTGGGAACCTTTGATGTGACCTCTCATGCCTATGTACTGGACGACACTCCGTCCGTGATGTCTCTTGGGAAACGATGCATGGAAGAAGGATATTCCTTTGTATGGCCATCTGGTCAAATGCCTTTCATGATTACGAAGAATGGAGAACGCATCGATTTGACAATCCATGACAACATCCCCTACGTTGATCTTGGAACTTACGAATGCACTCCTCATGGATGTCATCATGCATCAAAGATCCATGACATATTGATACATCCTCAAATCGGAGTCAATGATTTCAACGACATTGATGATGTTGGTCAACCCTCACGAAGAGTACATCTCGATGGAGAAAGTGGTCTTGAGACATCAACTGAGGATCACAACTGTTCCCGATATGTCAAGAAGCTCAAGGTGAAGAAGAAGAAGAAAAGAGCAATGAACCGGCAGAAACATTCAGCAACCCCAGGAGAAGCAGAAGAAGAAGAACCACCTGAGGGCGGCGAGTACGAACCAGGAA